CTTTTGGCCAAGAGAGAGAGAGAGAGACACGGGAAGTGAGTGAGAGAGAGGGAAAAACTAACAAACGGCGGACAAATGGCAAGGCTAAGTCCAAATGAACACAAAAACAAAACAGAGCTCACACACACCCCACCCTCACACACTCACACTCGCATGGCCATAAAAAGTCACTCAAGTGGTATTAAATGTACCACCAAGTGCAGTCGGCATCGGGAAATGGCAAGTGGCAAAACTGAAACTGTAAGAGGAGCCGCAATAGGAGAAGGTCCTGGAACCGAAACGGAAACGGAAGCTGGAAGGAAGGGAGCAGAGCCAAGCCCCGAGGAGCACCTGGCACAAAAGGTTAAGGATACATCCCGACCCACCCACTCACACAGAAACAGAGATCGCATGTGTACACTCGCATGTGAAAATACAGAAATCTGGTTGCCTTAGGAACCGACTTTTAGTACCCTCTAAAGGTTCAAAAGAAAAGGTATATTGTATTATACCAGAGAAAAAAAATAAAGAATTTATAGAAAAATTCATTTAATAAATAATTGATTTCCATTAAAAGTTATTAAAGAAAACACTATTATTTTTAAGACATTATGTGTGTAATAGGTAAATCACAGACCATCTTCCTGAAAACTTGTTTCCCCGCTTCATTTTCCGTGTAATTTTTGATTGAAACTGAGTGCTTCCACTCCCACTCCCTCCGCCCACTTATTTATTTTGAGCAAAACTTTGTCCGAAGCTGTTCGAGGCATTAGGCATTCTTTTACACTTAACTGCCAAAAAGGTGGCAGTGGCGGCGGCCAGCTGTTGCTTCTGGCCTAAGGCCAATCCGAAGCTCAATGGCCACGACGCTTTTAACCAAAAAATTTTATTGTGCACTGGCACGAGACAAACAGGCGAAAAATGAAAGGACCAAAAATGAAATAAGGCCGCTGCAGCACTCCGCCCTTGAGACACGTTCCGAGAGCCAAATAAAAGTAATAAGCGAAAAAGGGTTTTTCACTTCTGACCATTTCTGAACACCACACACACAGCTCAGCTCACAGCTGTTGTGCCAGCGGCACAACAATGGAAATGTTTAGAGAAATTAAACCAGGACACGACGACTATTGCGGTGCACCGAAGCCTGCAATACCCTTGCAAAAAAAAAACAGGGGTACGGGGAGCGGTTTAAGGGGTCAAAATGAAGGGGAACAACACCTGCCAGCGACAGTCACTAACTGGGTCAATTTAAGTGGCCCCCGCGTAAGTGGTTAACTATTTTGCCCACTCGTCTTCATCAGCAGTTAAAACGATTGGTTTGTGATGCAGGAAAATAAATTGGAAATTTCGTAAATAAAAGCGGGTCGTTAAAAGGAAATTTTTAGTATACACATAACCTCAGAATTTCCCATAAAATATATGAAGGAAGTTATAAATCTATTATTATAAACTATATCATATGGCTGCCATACAAACTTCGGCGTGCTGAAGTTAGCTTCCTTTCTTTTATTTTATTTATCTTTAATATAAAAAGCTTAAAGGTTTTAATAAGCAATTAAGGAATTTTGCAGCTGAAAGCACTGAATACCTAATTGATCCTTTTTGGTTTTTGATGAAGCCGGAAAAAACATTGAATAACATTGAATAATTGATCCTTTTGCCACATTCCACGCCACTGAATGGACTTGTTGAGCAAACAAATATACAATATATTCATCTCTGTTTGATGCATGTATAAATATCTAAGCTAAAAAATCCATTTGCCATTCCATTTACCATAAATCTACAACTATTTTGGCACCGAAATGTAAGCCAAAACCGAAATGAAAGCCAACAAAGCGGGGAAAATAGAGAAAAAATGGACGAAGCCAACAAATACACACTCACACACATACACTTGAACAATTTTCACTTTTATGCAACTTTCGTTTAAAGCAAAATAAAGGGGGGTCCCGGTAAGGGGGCTGCATAAACTTTTACCAGCTCATAAAACGCTCAGAAACAAGCGAACAAAATCGAAATCGGCCATAAAAATTGCACAGCGGGGTCAGATTCACATTCAGATTCAGTTAGTGGGGGCCTGTGCCACGTTGAGATTGTGTGCTTGGTCCGGCGGATTGATTTCCTTTTTGGGGGGAAAACCAAGCCAAGCCAAGTCAAGTCAAGATGCAAGTGCAAACAAATGAAAAGCAAACGCCGGGCGATGAAAATCAAAAGTAACGTTCTTCCACTTCTACTTCGACCAACTTTTCCAGCACCGATACTAAAAAGATTAAGGTTTTTCCCCGAAAATAACGTTGCTTAGGAATCGCTCAGCCGCCCCGTTGGCCCCGCCACGTTCGAGACTATTGAAAGTTTTCACTTTTCCCATGCATACTTTACGGCGCTCCCAGTTTTCCCAAGCAACATCAGCAGCAGGAGCGTTTTTTACGATCCCCCGCCCTCCCCCTGATTTGGGCCCTCGTAAAATAGCTGGAACAACCATCGCCTGATGGCAAACGTGTTCCAATTAAACGCCTAGTGCCCCGTTCCGCCCCGCCCCGCTCCCATCTCCGCCATGACGCGTATAGTTAATTTAAATGAAATTTGTAAATTTCGTTTGACGGCACGTGACACATGCAAATATGGCAAATAAAAATTACAACTCATAAAAATTGACTCCCCCCAAACCAGGGGCATTATTTCGCCCATGAAACAGTGTAGTAAATGGGGACAACACGGCGAGAAAATATATAAGAATTAGGTTCTAGGAAGTTTGATATTACCAAAAATTTAATAGAGATATTCTCATATTTTTCTGTTATATTTCCCGATCTTCTTATTACAGCTGTATGATACAGTCGTGTGATTTTTATACCTTTGCAGGATATTATGATTTTATTTAGAATAGGATAAAATGGTAATATAGCTTCAGTCAGAAGCTTGTAATGTAGTGAAGAAGTCGTTTCCGACCCTATAAATCATATATATTCTTGATCAGCATCGACAGGCGAATCTTTCTAGCCATATTTTGAAGTATATTATTTTTTTTAATTTTTTCAACATTTTTCAAGGGTTTGAAATTAAAATTATAATTGTCAAAAATTGTAAAAAATTTACATTTAAAATAGAGTATGCAGATTTATTATCCTAATAAAAACTAACATAGGGCTGCTGTCCGCATTAAAATTAATGCTTCTTTGGCTTAGCTATGAGTCTTTTAAATTTTGATTTGTTGAACAAATTGTCATATAAAAATGTGAATAATATCGACTAAAAATTAGTATTATAGTTTTCGTCAGACGGTTCAAACGCAGTGAAGGAGTCGTTTCCGACCCTATAAATCATATATATTCTTGATGAGCATCAACAGGAGAATCTTTCTTGTCATATTTAGAAGTATATTATTTTTTTAATTTTTTCAACATTTTTTTAAGGGTTTAAAATTGAAATTATAACTGTCAAAAATTGAAAAAATTTAATTTTTTTTAAATTTTAAATGGAGTATGCAGATTTATTATCCTAACAAAAACTAACACAGGAGCGCTTTCCGAATTAAAATTAATGCATTTTTGGCTTAGTTATGACCGATTTTAAATTCACTTTCGTATCTAATTGGAAACTGTAAGGTTAAACAAACTTCTGCATCCCGAATATAGCTTATTCTTTCCTCGTTTAAATTTATTTTATTTATTTGTCATATTTTCTTTAATTATTTTAATTTACCATTTCAGTGTGCTGCTTTTCTCGTAGTGCACTTAAAAAAACGCGAAAATGTCGCAACTTGTAGCTGTTCCACAGCTGCCACGCCCATACGCGCCATAAAAATGTAACTTAAGGAGGGAGGAGGAACAGGACGAGCAGGAGGCGGAGGAGCAACACAAAAGCGAGGGAGAAACTTGACTAGGGGCACGGACTGGGGCACTTTAACAAATTGTTCTTATGCCTTAAATTCCGAACACACACACTCCGCAATTTAGCTTTTGTTTCCAATGAAGCGCAAAGTTGATTAAAATGTTGCAATTCCTATTCGCTAATTGAAAGGCAAAACTGTCGTTGCCCTGCCTACAAAACGTAATTGCCAGTCGAAAGGGAGAGAGGGAGTCTGCATATCCTCATCAAGAAATTTACGTCTAGTCAATCAAAGGTTAATTGCAAATTGTTGCAAATCAAAAGGATTTCATTATGCGGGCCAGGGGGTGGCAATACACTAGTTGAAATGTGCCATAAGTTGTAGTAGTAAGTAAGCCATAAAGTTTCATCGCAACTCGAACGAGCACCCAGTCACTCGCACTTCACATGCATTTTAATCACATAAAACTCACTTATCCTGGCAACATTTTGCGTCACTTGTAAGGAGGCAAGTGTAAAAGCGATAGACGCACCCAGGATGGGATAAAGGGTATGCTAACTATAAGGATAATGTGAAAAGTGACATGAACATGGGAGAAAATATAATTGCAAAGAGTGAAGTTGTTGTAGCCAGCATAATTCCAGGAAATAATGAGGGCCTTTTTAAATATTATAAACTACATTTTAGAGAGTGTGTACAAGTTGTACCTACATTTTCCCTCTTGTGTTTTTTTTTTTTTTTTGTGAGCACATTTTCCTCAGAGTATTTGTAGTACATACATGGCGTATGCGCAACATTTGCCGGCAAACAAATTTATGCGGCAACATATAAATCGTGTAACTGTAGCTGCCACAGTTGCTGCTACTACTACCAAAAACTCTCGCTACGCAGCTGCCGCTGAAGGCAAATAGTTTATGCGAAAAAAAGCATCACTTTGCTCTGGCAAAAAAAAAAGAAAAAAACAAAAAAAATAGAGGAAGGAAAGTTTGCAATTTGTTCGGCACAGAACATCTTAATTTAATAAAGTGCCCAGGGAAAACTGAATGGGCGGCCAGTAGCAAATTTGGAAATTGTTTGGCCTGCACGCAGATAAATCTCAATTAGGGAATGCTTGAATGCAGCAATAAACATTTGGGCCTCGAAATACATACATATATTTTCCCCAATTTTATGCGAAAGGAGAACGCGGTGTTTCTTTCACTCAAACTCTGACGAGTTTTCGCTTTTTTTTATTCAAAGGTTTCCTTTTTTTCGTTCTAACAAAAAATGTTTTCCAATTTTTTTCGTTCCTAATAATTGACACAATTTCTAGGCATAGAAATTAGTTGCAATATTTTTGTTTCGACACTTTGATAACAAATAATAATTAAAGTTAATGATTAATGACAAAATCAAGTTGAGAGAGTTAATGCAACTTCCGTCTGCTCTTAAAAGACTTGAACGCGGTGGTTTTCGCGATCGCACACCAGGATATTTCCGTTGGACATTATAGCCACGCCCTCGAGTCCTTTGAACTCCGAATCGCCAGAGCCCCAGGAGCCGAAGGTCTTCAGGAAGCTGCCATCCGGATTGAAGATCTGTATGCGATTGTTGCCCGAATCGGCCACGAATATATAGCCCTGATCGTCCACGGCCACGCCGCTAAAGGAGTGAGGGGAGAAAAAAGGCAACATTTAACACTTCTGTTGGCAATTAAAAAACCGGTAATTCAATTTACTCACCGCGGAAACTTGAACTGGCCGTCGTCGGAGCCCTCGCCGCCAACGGTGGACAGGACCTTGCCGTTCACATCGAAAATCTGTGGATATGGGATGGGGCCAGATGCCGAGGAGGTGAAACAGGTGACCAAATAAATTGCAAACGTATCTCGGATTGTGAGCATATTTTAATTAAAATTGCTCACATGGCCAGACAGGCATGAAAGAGGCAGAGGGACTCGGACACTCACCTGAATCCTGTGGTTATTCGAGTCGGAAACAATCACACGATTCGTATTCGATACGGCTATATAATGGGGATGCTCAAGTTGTCCCTCGCCACGGCCGCAGGAACCGAATTTGCCAACGAAGGAGCCATCGGATTGGAAAACCTGACGAATGCGAATATTTCGATATAAGTTTGCAAATTGAAATGGCCAGAGCCCATGCCAATATACATATATATATAGTATACACTCCCAGTTAAGCTCATGAAAATTGCTGAGCTGCAGCTCGAGTGTGACAAATTGGGCAAGGCCCGGCCAACGAGAGGGTATATATAAATATTTGCATGCAAATCGAGATTGAAGATGGAGGCGAGGTCTGAAAAAAGGTAGCTCGCAGCTACTGCTCCTTCGTTCCTCTGTTGCAAGGCTCCTCCTCACTCACCTGCACTCTGTGGTTCTCCTTATCGCACACGTAAATGAAGCCGAGTGCATCGGTTGTTACGCCCCAAGGATAATTGAATTTGCCATCTGCGGTGCCCTGCGAACCGAAGGCGCGCAGGAATCGTCCTTGCGGATCGAGCACTTGTATGCGATGATTGTATCTGCAATTGAAGTGGAGAGAAAACAGTGCACATTGAAAGGGGATATCATAGCGAAAGTGAGGCTTTTCATTCCTAGATAATGTCTTGTTTAATTATTAAACAAATACCTTGGAGGTACACAACTTAAAGATAGGTTGTAACTTGATTCATATATGTGTATACAAAATGTAATTTAATTTTGAGATTTTGAGCACGAGTTCTATTCAAAACTTTATATAAATATCTAGCTTAATTATTAAATAAAAACCTAAAAGGTATATCGATTAAAGTAGGGCTGATTGTGTATACTTTTTAAAGACCTATAAGAAGGAAACATAAAGTAACCTATTGGATACGAATTTGAATAGAAATAAAGTCTCTTTCTTTTGGCTTTTCAACTTTTCTCTGCGTGTAAGTGGCTGAACCAATTTATGGGGCCATCGAATCGTCGACGGGTTCCCCTCTTAATTGCGAACCGGAGTCCGCAGCCCCAAAAGAGATCTCATTACGCGACCCAGACACGATGCCTTGGCATTCCAAGGTGTACTTTTGGGAGTGGGTGTGGGCATGGGCATGGGTTGGATGCCTGGATGGATTTGGGTTTTCCAGTCTGTGGGCTGTGATGGGTGTCGGACTTAGGGCTAAGCCGCTTAACGTGCAAAATCAAAGTTGACTCACACAATGAGGCCGGGCTCCCGGGTGCTTAACGAGATTTTGCGTCAAACAATGACAGGAGCGGCAGCTGGCGGATGGCAGCACTCGTAAAAAGGTTGCAGGATAACATGTGCAAGTCTCGTACTCCTGGTACCCGCTGGCCCATGGCACATGTTTCTCATTAACGCGGCTATTATGCGCTTAGCCCTGCCAATTAGAGGCGGAGCCGGGAGCTAAGAGCTAGGAGCCATGGCCCGGGAATTAATCATGCGCTTTTGTTTCGACTTAATTAAAAACCAGACTGACCGCCCAGCTAAGACTGAGCCGCTCGGCTCGCGATAAAATATCACCATGGAAATGGCGCAGAAATATCTAGTTTGTATTCTTATAGATGGAGTTCTAAATTATCTAATTTATATACATATCTTCAAGCAATTATTACCTATTTTCCAAAGATGATTTGATGATAATTACTATATATTTTCAAGTACTCACCTATCGGCTATGATGTACTGACCGATGCGGTTAACGGCCACACCGGCGAGGCAATCGAACTCACCCTCGCCGTTGCCATACTCGCCAAACTCCTTGACAAATATGCCATTGGAGTCGAAGACCTGGACGCGGTGGTTACTGGAGTCGGCGCACACGATGCTATTGTCGGGGCCAACGGCCAGGCCACGCGGCCATGTGAAGGATCCGGGCTCGCTCCCCCGGCCCCCCAGCTGGAACAGTTGCTGGCGCTTGCGCAAGTACACCTGCTTAGGGATAGTACCTGCCGCTCCGGCTATACCGGCTGCTGCCGCTGCTGCTGCTACCGTAGGGGACGTAGGGGAGCCTAGCCCGTTTTTTGACCCGTCGTCGTCGGAGGAGGCCAGCTCGTTGGCCTGCCTTAGGGGCAGGCCCAGGCTCAGCCTGCGGGACACTTCGCTGGCCGTGCTACGTCCGGTTCCGGATCCACTCGAGCCACTCGTGCCGTAGCCGTGCGACGCATGCGACGACGCCCCTGTCGAAGTGGAGCTTCCGCTTCCGGTGTGCGTGTCGCGTGCGCTGCCGCTGCCACTGCTGCCGCCGGCCGAGTCCTTGCTGCTCTTGTTGCCGTACTTGTTTTTCAAGTACCGCGCCCAGGAGCTCAAGGCCTCGCCATCCTTGCTGTCGGTGGCCGAGCTGCTGCCCAAGCCGCTGGACCGCGACGATCCAGCCCCCCGATCGGTGATGGGGGAGTTATCGCGCGACTTGAGTGCGTGCGAGGAGCGACTCCTTGCGAGGTCACTGCTTCCATAGCCGCTGTACCTGCAAGGACATCCAAGGGTAATTAGCAAATGGCTTAGGGACTATGCAGGAGGAATGGAAATGGGATGGAGTCAAAGTCGAGATGGAGTTATATATGAAATAGAAGGCTGACTTTAAAAACAGATGAGGCGCTTTAAGCTGAGAAGAAGGAAGCTATATCAAGGCTAGGCTAGACTTTTTAACTAATAAAATATTTCTAAATTATACAAAATAAAATCAGATAGAACTTTATTTGAAAAACTTGTTTCAAATAAGTCTACTGAGACTTGTTAAGTAAAGCAAACTTTAAGATTAATATTTTTAGAAAAGTTCAAGAAAATTTTTCTCTTTTACTGTATAAAAGCTTTAATTTAATTTAAGCTTGTATTTTATGATAAATTAACTGAAAAGCTACCTTTTTCTCTGCTTCTTTCTGATCTACATGAAACTAATGCGTGATGACTAGTGCTGCTTATGTACAGAGAGAGAAAGGGGGAAAACTTCTTGGTTGATTTCCAGTTAATTTCGGTTAATTTAAAAACGCGTTTTGTTTTTTGTTCAATTTTAAACACAAGTAAATGACTAAAGAAAAATCAAAAAATTAAAAAAAATATATAATTTTACAAAAAAATAAGAGAGAAACGAAAGAGCAAAAATCCAAAATGTGGAAATTAGTGTGGAGTGCAACATAAACGAGAACCAGAACGTGGCGAACTTCGAGGGACGTGTGGCACGCACAGAAAGTCAACACAAAAAAAGAACCTTAAATAATAAATAAATTAAAAATAAATTAAGTTAAATTAAAGATAGAGATACGGAAAACCGGCGATTGGGACAGCACACGCACAATGAAAGCGCCCAGCGCACGCACGATAATTATGAAGATAATCGCTCATCATTATATAGATCGTATATATACAGCCGATAGTTATTATATCCTATGTACAACTCGGAGGGGTCGGAGGGGTTTTCATATATAAGTAGCTGTGGAAGGGTCAGTTCTCAGGGTCTCACTGCACACCTTGAGGCCAGGTAAGCGGACGGCGAGACCGTGGTGGGGGACACCGGCTCATCCAGGTCGTCGTCCTCGTTGCCGAATTGGTGCGAGGAGCGGCTGCGCGCCAGCCTCGTCCTGCGCTCCTTCATGGCCAAATAACGGGATCGGCCGGTGCCATAGCGACTGTCCGAATCGTCGCCAGTTCCGGTGGCATCCTCATCGAAGGAGGCGGTGGGCGTGGATAGCGAGGGTTGCGTTACAATGGCGCTGCTCTTGCTCTTGTTTAGAAAGCGGCTTGTGTAGCTGCAAAAATGTTGATTTCGGTTCGGTTTCTTTTTGGTTTTTGGTTTGGTTTATGGTTTCATTGGGGATTTTCTTTCGGTGTTTGGTATATATAATAAGATTTGTTTAAGGATTAAATTGTTAATAATAGAATGTGAAATTTGTATACCATTGCAGAAGAATTTATCATTTTTTCTGACAACTTTCAATTAAATCGATATTTTATCAATGTAAATTTTAAATATATGAAAACTCTTTCAACTTGGATATAGTAATTTTTAGCTGCAAGGATATATGAATCAACTTCAACTTCCCGAAGCTAATTCATCAAATTCTTTTCGTAGATGTTGTTGCTGTTGTGTGCTTGTGAGTCTCAGTTTTCAATTTTAAATTCAAACTAATCCACTCGAACGACCACCGCTTAATTAACTAACTTTTAACCAGCTTAAAAAAGCGTCTGTATAAATAAGTATATATATATGTATGTGTGTCTCGTTTATTAGCCATTAAATTCTATTAAAAAACGAAGAAGAAACACCAAACAGCCTCCAGAACTCGGGAGGCAGCAAAGTTTCTAATTAAATTCACATTTCGCATTATCGAAAAGTTAAACAAAGTAGTTGGGAAAAGTTTCCGGTTAAGTACGTGAAATTATGGCGCCGATTGGCGTCCGTGTCGGTGTCAGTGAGTGTATGTGTGTGTGCGGTGGGTGGTTTCCAGGGGGGGGGGGAAGGCGGATTAAGACGGAAACACGGAAAGCAACAACTACAACAACTACGAAAACATAACGAGGAGGTAGAACATAAATTAAAGGCTTAAATCTAGGTGAGTGCAAGTGCAAAAATAGGGGCAAAAAAATGAAGCAAAAATAGCAACAGGCAGCCCACAAAAGCAGGCAACACTTTCTGCTGCTTCCAAAAAAAAAATACGAAAAAAAAGGAAACAGAAAAGCAAAACACATACATACATAGCATGGCGGCAGTGTGCATATCAGTTTGTACAGCTTAATTGCCAACGATAAAAAAGCAGCTTAAACAAGTGGAAATGAAATAGTCGCAAAGCAACGACCATCCGATACCTGCTATATAGGGCTTTAACCTCTGTTTCTGGAGGTATTTCTTTTGGTTTTTATAAAGTATGAACACATTGAGGCGATTAACGTAAGATCTCTCTGATAAATAAGTATCTTCCCAGCTGTAAGTTACAAATATATTTTTTTCTAAATATAAACAATTTTTGCTTGAGATAATGTTGCATAAGTTCCTATTCTTTTTCTAAAAAGATTTTTAAAATAAAATCTAGAAAAAGGCTAGTTTTTAATAATTAATAATTATTTTAAAATTTGCAATCTGTTAAAAAAGTTTAGATATACCCTTTAAAATATGTATAGAATTCAATGGGTTCAAAATCCTAGAATTATAAGAACACTCTAAACAAAACCTTTGACATTTTAAAATCTCTTGAAAGTAAGTAAAAAAGTACACTTAACATTATATAGGGTATTGTGAACACACTACACATATATTTTAAGCCCCTATAAACTTTATATGGCATATTATTTTATTTTTTAGAGCAATTAAAAAATATGCTATTAGCTTAAACAAAACCCCTCGTCATAAACCTCTCTACCTGGGCTATAACAATTGACTCCATTTGTAGAGCATAAATCCAGCTACAGTTTAACACTAAACAAATACCTTGAATAAATACGACAAAATGATAATGACTCGTGACGGACTCGTGAAAATTATATGATGGCAAACAGAACGGACTGATAAGAGATACCAATTTATCGCATTGTTCCCGCTGAGGTGTGAGAGCTGAATTCGGGGGAGTGTTGTAATTACATTACGCTAGATTTGGTGGGGGTAGGGGAGGGAGAAAAAGGGTTTCAGCCTCGCTGTTTGTTGTGTGTCGTGCAAAAGTAAAATTAAAGAAGTTTTTTTCCATCAGAGCACAAAGGAGCAGGACGGGCCTCGTCGAATTGATCCCTTTGAAAAGGGTATTGACAGAGCACAGAGCGTGAGACACAGACGGACGAAGAAGTAAAGTTAATTTCCAGCCCTTTGAGTGGCTCTTTGAAAGGACCCCATCATCGTCGCGATTCTATTTATTTGCCCATTGAAGGTGACTCCCGAGTACTTGGCCAACTTGTTCAATTTTATTTCCAGCGAACATTCAAATATTTAATCAATAGTCTAGGGTTAAGCTCTCGTTTAACATGAGTTGGGTTATTTAGTGGGGATTTCTTATAAAACAGGGGTTTAAGTTTCAGTTTCAGAACTCATTCAAAGGTTTGGGTTAACAAAAAAACAACTGAACTACGCTTATGAATTGCATTGAATGCGAGTTGTTTTTTTCTTTTCTTTCTGGCCTGAGTTTATAGTAAGTGTATTGATAGTATATCTTGGGCTAGACGTCGGCAAGTCGCTTGCGGTATCGAGCCCGGCTGGGTCTGCTTATGTACGGTATGCTAAAGGGCAGTGCACTGCAAGAAATCATTGTATAGAAGAGAACACAAAGAGAGTGATGATAGAACCGTGTGTATTGTGTGTGTTTACCTAATTCGGCGCTGGGGAGTGCGTGTGTACTGTGTGTAGTGTGTTGTGTGTTGTGTGAGTCTGCAGTGTGCTATGTAAAGGTTATGAACTTGACAATTAGACGCCACACGAGGCGTATGAGCAACAATGTGGCCAATGCCAGGTTAATGCCAACACGGAGCACTTGTACAAAGCTGCAGCAGCGGTCAACGAGATACAGTGGGAAATACAAGAGAGAGAGATATTCGTAGAAAGCAAATCATTAAAACGCATCAAATCGGAGCGAGGCGAAACCAAAACCAAACCAAAAACACAATTATCCATTAGGCATATCGATTTTAAAGCCACTCTCTGCACTTGTGTGTGCAAATGTGTGTCTCTTCGTGTGTGTGGCTGTGTGTGTGTGTGTTTACCTAATTAAAGTTGTAAATTAATTGCAGGCTCTCTGTACGGTTTTTTTACAGGTAATTCAATTAGTTTGTGTGTGGCATAAAACGAGTAAAACAAATTACCGAACAGCATTATTTGACACACAATTTATATGCCATGCTCATCAGATATGTATCTATATATATCTATATCTGTATCGTTGCACTTCGAGAGAGCACTGGCTACTAAATCTGATGCACAGAGAAAAAGTAAGTCACAATATTAAAAATTAAAATAATTTAATTATAATCAGTTAAGTTTGTACTTAGATTTTATATCCCTATGTGTAGGTATTAGTAAGGTCTTCGTGTTTTCTAATTTAAAAGTAGAGTAAAGTTATCATATTTTTAAAGAATTTACCTTATTGTTCAGACAGGTTTTTAGCTCCTCAATTACTTTGTATCAAATATTTCAAGTATATAAAACTCATATTCAATATTAAATTGAAATAATTTTAAAATTAAATGAAATGATTTTAGTGACCTTTTTTCTCTGTGCAGATTACCTTGTGTGTTTTATTTTATATATTTTTTTTTTATTATTAGACGAACTATCTGATTTGTTCGCCTAATTAGCCATGCAAATTAGTTCGGTTATAGAAACTACAAAAAGTCACGAATAAAAAAACGCTGAACTATTTTCCGGGTGCGCTTAGAGAGAGAAAATGTGTGGAAATGGTGGGAAATACCTGCTGCCTGTGCCGCTTCCATAGCGATCGTCGCTCTCATGGTGGGGAGCTGGCACCGCTCGGGAGCGGGTGGTGCTGGTGGTGCCGCTTCCGTAGCCGCTGCTGGAGGGCGTGGCATAGCTGCTCCTTCCGGCTGCCGTCGAGGAGCTGTCGTCGCGTGAGGCCCGCCTGGCCTCCAGGCGATCCCGATAGGAGCTGCCAGCGGAGGAGGCAGCCGTCGTTGTGGAACTGGCGGCACTGCTTGGCGTCGACTTGGTGTTCGTCGAGCTACTGGCCGCACTCGTTTTGGGCTTGGTCTCCGGCTCCGACTCCGACTCGGACTCGGAGCTAGTCTCCTCCTCGCTGCTGGAGCTGGACTCGGCCTTCTTCTTGTCCGCCGAACCGTTCGAGGAGCTGGTGTTGTTGTGCTGCGGCAGGAAGCGGCTCACGAAGGGCTTCTTCTCCGGCACAGCCGTGGCATCCCGGGCCGTGGAGTTCCTCGTCGAACTGGCCGCCTTGCTGCTGCTGCCACCAGGTGCTGCCGATGTGGCAGCAGTAGCTGCTGCTGCCGCCGCTGCTGTGGCTGCTGCAGAACTGGCCGAGCTCTCGGTGGAGGCACTGCTGTCGCTGCTGCCGGAGCGCTGGGTCTTCTTCACGGCCGCCACCTGAGCGGAGACGGGCGGCTTCTGGGACTGTTGGGTTGGAGGAGCAGTGAGGAGAGTTGCATCAGAGTCTAAGAGCTAAGGGCTTGAGTTAGTTGGTTTTTGTCGAGCGAGTAACGAACGAACGAGCGGAACGCAATGCAGATGCAGATGCAGGATATGTATAAAGATAACGGGATATAGGGAGAAAAGGACAGATAAACAAAGATGGCGAGATGCTGATTTGTGATCAAAGGAAGTGGACAACATGGGTTACGTGCTTATTTCCGGTTTATTTTTGAAAATAGGGGGTTAAACGAACCTCTATACTCAGCTGTCAATTTAAATATTTAAAGCCTACAAAGTAATGTTTAATAATTTAAATCGAAGTGTTCAATTAAATTGTGCACCTAATCCTTCCTTTTCATTTTTAACAAGTTCGTTAAGTATCAAAGGGAGAAATCAAAAGAAAGGCCATTGAAATGGCAAATATCTGACGCAAGGACCCTCTTCACTCTTCAAATGATATTCCATCAACTCTCTTTGACGTCCGTGTGTCCTAATTGATCGAACGAACAACCTTTTCCTATTCCCATTTGGGCAAATGCCAGGGACAAGACAAATATGCAACCGCTGTGCATATGTCACTGGAGGGTGCTATGTGGCATATATGCACATATATTCCATATATATTCCGGTTCTGGAAACATTGTTAAACTGACGGAAGCAGCCGCATCGCTGACAGTGGCATGATGGTGAAATATTCGCCATTGAACCCGGCTCTGTCTGACATTTTTGGGGGAGTGTGTGGGTGTATGGGTGTGTGGGGAGGGAGGCGTGGCAACAATGTGTGAATGCATGACAGGCAAAAAAAATAAAACAGAAACGGGAAGGAAAGAAAAGAAATACATATACAACAGAAATATTTACAGCGGACATCAGAAATTGCAAAATAACAAAAACGGCAGACGAAAAAAAGGCTAGAAACAAATTCAAAATGAAGACAAAGCGAGACGGCGAGAGTGAAACAGAGACAGAAACAGAAACAGAGAAAGAGAGAGAGAAATGTCGCCTTTGTTGATCAGGGTCTGAGATTTATTCAGCTCGACAGCATTGACCAAAGAAATTTAGTAAGATTTAAGCAAATTAACATCACTACCGCATCGTTTGTCCACTTTTTACAGAGAGAGATAGATAGGCAGAGATATAGATAGATATAGATAGAGAGAAAAAGACAGAAAGAGAGAGAAAGGAGAAACGGAAAGAATTGTAAGAAAAATGCTTGAAATTCGGTAATTTCTATGCTGTTTTATTTGCTTTAACTTTCTTGTGTGTGTTTTTGTGTCTCTAACTAACGATAAGGTAAAAGATGTTAAGCTACGTAAATAAAAAAATATTTATATATGTATTTAGGTAAGTTTCGTGTATATAAAATATTGTACAATTCTGATTTCTGATGTCCGTTTTTTAGCTTTGGGCCCGCAAACCTTTTGCCCTGCATTCTGATTATTTAGTCAAAGGTCAAAAGGTTCTGGGCCCAAAGCAGCATTAGGTGAAAGGCGCTCTCACAAAAGACAATAAAAAAGAAACATAAGACATGAACAAAAGAATAAAAATAAAGAAATGGGGACATGAACTTAACACGTAGACAATAAAATAACAAACGTAAAAATATAAACAAACACAAAATAACGAAATGGGGTTGACTAGTTTGTTTTTTCTTTCGGAAGGAGGGGAAATGTTCTTCTCTTGTTTTGGTTAGGTTTCAGATTAACAGTAAAAGGTAACAGTAAACGGTAAATAGTTAACAGTTATCGATAATCTCTCGATTGGCTCGAAACACAACACTTACGGAGCGGAAGGGAAGTGTGAACGATGGAGCACAAATAAAGAACGAAGCACACATGGCGTATACGTAATTTTTTTGTTTTGAGTTTATTTCATTCGGCGGGATTTTTTTGCAACAAGAACAAAGGGTAAAATACTGAGCCAGGCTACAGTGACAGCGGTCGATTCTACCTATATTCTATTCTATATTTGTTTCCCTTTCTAGACTTTCCATAAACTAAAGATTTCAATCTTCTTCCTCCTCATCATCATCATCAGTGACCTCAATCTCCTCTTCTGTATACTCATACTCATCATCATCGTCTTCGGGACTCACTATTTCTACAGAAGCTTCTGCTGATTTCTGTGCTTCTACCTCAGGTAATTGATTGCTCATTATAACTTCTTCGGGATTCCCCTCAGCTTTTTGGGTTAACTCACTATCCGGAGGAAGGACATTTATAAGAGGTAAAGCTTCGGGTTGATTAACTGGCTCTACATTCTCCGCTTCTTCCTCTTCGCTTTCGCTTTCGGTGGCTGTTACTTCTTCGTATTCCGAGGATGACTCCTCCTCCTCGGTTTCTTCAGAGGAAGTAGGTTCTGCATTAACTTCTGGCGGGCTAAGACCAGCAGACACCTCTGCCCCCAAGGCTACTGGGGATCCCTCTACTTCCTCCCCATCACCCCCTCACTTTCCTCCTCATCCTCCTCGTCTTCCTCGCTGTCACTGCTGTCACTGGCCACGCCTTCTTCTTCTGTATTTGCCTCATTCACACTTACCTCAGCCCGGGTTGCCGCTGCCATCGAACTACGCACTGGAGACGCCGCTTGAGTAGAGCTTCCATCGCTGTCCTCGCCGCCGCGACTCTTCAGGGACGCCACCCGCTGATCGCTGGCAGAGTCCGTCGCTCCCGACGAAGATGAGGACGCTGATGTGGCAGCTCCTGTCGCTCCTATCGAGGCAGCGGCGGCATTCTTACGCTTCTTGGCCAGCTCGGCCTCCTCGTCGGCTGCCGCCTGCTGGTTCTTCTGCTGCTGCCGCTGCATGGCCGCCTTTTGGGCCTGAATGGCGGCCTGGACTGCCGCTTGTGCGGCTGCTGCGGCATCGGATTTCTTCTCCTTCTTCTCCTTGCCAATGTCCGCCAGGCGCTGGACCACTCGCGAGCAGTCGCTCAGCCGGATGATGCCACTGAGCTGGCCACGCGACACATCCTCGCTGTCCAGCACCCGATCCTTGCGCTCCTTGAGCTCCTGCTGGCGCTGCTGCTGCTGCAGCTGCTCGCTGTCGGAGTCATCGTTCTGGTGGGATCTCACGAAGCGCGACCGGAAGCGGGAGGACTTGCCAGCCCTGCCCGAGCTGCCCTCGTTCTCGTAGTCGTTCTCATAGTCATAGTCCCCGCCCGACCGGCCATAGCGGTCGTTATTGGCCTGGGTGGCGCTGCGCTGCGGACGTTCGCCGAACTTGCGACCGCCCAGGACGGGCTCATCGTTGTACCCGCCGCGCTCCTCCTGCTGCCTGAACTGGGTGGCCAGACGGTGATCGCTCTTGGAGCGCATCAGGCCCGGCTGCAGGGCACTGGGCGGCGCCAGGTGAGAACTGCTCACCGAACTGCCGCCGCTGGGCGTCGAGTGCGGGGCTATGTTCAGGTCCCCGAAGGTGGCCAGATTCATCACCAGCTGGTTGGGATCGATGGAGACCAGGAACCGCACGCGACGACTGTAGTCGTTGTTCTCGTACTCAAAGTGTCGCAGGAACTCCACCGTCTTCAGGAAGATCTCCTTGGTGTCCATCAGCTCGCAATCGTCCCACTCCACGGTCTCGTTCATGTACTTGTCCACGATGTCGCAGTTGCTGCTGATATTCGTGATCTCCAGGTCGAGGTTCTCCTTGAGGGTGGTCAGGTTACGCAGCTCCACGGCCAGGTAGCGATCGATCTCGCCCTTCAGCTGATCGGACCGATCCTTGATGGCCTTGGTGATGCGCCTGTAGATCTCATCGATCTCATCGGTGACACTAATGGCATTCGTCTGCAGGCTCATCGTGTTCTTCTCAATGATGGCCAAAGAGTCCTGCAAGCGGTGCAAACTGCGACGGATCTGGGTGGGAGAGGGCGTAATAAGTTGGTGGGAGTTTTCTTAAAAGATAATTCCTTATCTTACCTGTGAATTGAATCGGGTTATCTCCCGCCGCAGTATGTCCATGTGGGCGCTCTTGCAGTCCTCGCAGATCTTCTTTTCGCAGTGCGCACAGTGGGACAGATAGGCCTTCTCCGAGCAAACACCACAGCGTTCCATAATTTGACCTGCAAGGGGAAATAGACAACAATTACTAATCACTGCTGGCAGCCAAAAATGACACACTCCCAAATGACTTCCTGCCTGAATGACTGAATGCTTGAGTTGAACAATAAAATGCCAAGTATGCCGACAGCAGCAGCTCATCAATTTGCACTCTTGGCAACAATGTCCTGCCACATGCCAGGGATACCAAGGATACCAACCAAGTATGTGAGGATGTGGTGCAGGATGAGACCGAGGCTGAGACTTCGGCTGAGGATGTCTGTTGCATTCACTAATGCGATTTCAAGAGCACGAAATCAACTGCACCTAAGCGCCAGTTATGCAGCTCTATGCTGCTGCACTGGGGAATATAATATGAGCTATGATTCCCTATAAAAGATATATATTTCGTAAGGAAAATAACTACTACTGATTCATTTCTTATAACTTGTATTTTATATATTCTGTTAGGTTGCTTTTAGTAATTTTTCTGCCACTCTTTGACCAGTATTATCCTTAGCTTTTCCTGTGAGCAAAATTTACGACCTACAACAACGTTTAGTTATCCGATTTTCAGCCATAAACTCTCGATTTTATAGAGATTTGTGATTTTTACTGTGTGCACTCCCCCCCCCCCTAGTATTATGTGTGTCACATCCTTTTGGCAAAAGGGATCCTTTGGCTCCTTGTCGACGAGGCAGAATGTGTGTCTGTGTCTGTGTGTGGCAATGCAAATAACGAGCCTCGGCGCAGTGGGGCAACAATGCAAAAGTAAACTTTTCTGCATCAATTGCTGGCATTGGCAATGCCTGATGAACACTCCTCAGTAGCATTTCCCAGGCACCCTCGATCCCCCGTTCCCCCATCGCAATAAACTGGCAGAAAAGGGGGGCATAAGTGAGGAGTGTAAGGATGCAATGCCAATAGTTGGCTTCTCTGTATTTTCTCGTGTAATCATATGGAAAAGTGAATTTGCAAATTCCACATGAAAGTTGTACGAGTGCTCGTTGTCCTGGCTATATCCATAACACGAAAAGGATTCCTTTGTTTCACACATTTGCATAGTCAAGAATGGAATTTGTATAGTAAAAAATGGATACAAATGTAATGGGTGCACGGGAAATTATTTTGTATAGTTTTCTTGAGAATTATCTGCCAAAGATCCCATTTAAAATAATTTGGACTATCTAAAATTAATTTTTAAAAATGTTAGATAAGGTTTTCCCTTTCAAAATAAATGCGCAATAATTCCTCTTTCGTTGTTATATTTTTAAATATTTTCAGAGAACTAATAAATTATTTGTAAAACCTATACCATACATACTAAATTTTTCAGCTTCTATACACCCTAAGCTTCTTGTATAAAATATTTAATAATATATTTTTATATGTGAGAAACGCCTCCTTAAAAAGTGATTTATTTTCTCTCTGTGTGTTAGTTAAAGCCAAGAGCTTTGTCTGCCTTATTAACTCACACTCGAACCTGATTGCAGCTCAAAAGTTGCAAGCCATTTGCATATTTTCACCCCAAAAATAATTGTGAAGTCATGCTGAGTAGGTTGATCCGGATTATCGGGGGATGAGGGCCCCAGAGATGAGGACCAAATGCAAATTGCTCAAACGAAATCAATTTCGCTTTGCTTAGTTTTAATTGCTATCAGATGGTATCCGGACTTTTTAATTGGAAAGCCAAACATAATGGCCTAAAAAGCTAGTTTTTTGCCATATTGCTTTTCTGCTTATTTGTTGTTTTTTCCCCTCTCTTTTACAGCATTCCAAACATTTTTCGCTTTGGCCCGGATTTTAGTGGAATTTAATTAAAGTTACAGCCATGATTACATGGCAATATTTTTATTAATAACATTTTTGTTTTGTCCGGACAAAGAGCGGGAATTACGAATTTGTGAGCTTTGTATTTACAAAAATGAAACTATCAATGATTATATATTCAAGAAATTTTAATTGTAATTTATTATGCCCTTGCGGGGTACTATAGCTTTAGTCAGAAGCTTCTAAAGCAGCGAAGGAGTCGTTTCCGACCCCATAAATCATATATATTCTTGATCAGCATCAACAGGCGAATCTTTCTAGGCATTAAAAGAAGAATATAAATTTTTGAAAATTTTTTCAACATTTTATAAGGGGTTACATCGTTAAAATTGTCAAAAATTGGCAAAAATTTACTTTTTAAATCGAGTATGCAGATTTATTAGCCTACTAAAAACTAATACAGGGCTGCTTTCCGATTTAAAATTAATGCTTTTTTGGCTTAGTTATGATATATTTGACATTATCCTATTGATAGCTGCAAGAGTACACACTTCGGCTTCTCGGCTTTGTTTATTTATTTACAAGTAGTATTAATTCCTCACCTGATGTGGGATCGGGCAGTTCTCCGGTGATTTCGATATGCAGTTCCAGAAAGCGTTGTAGGGTGACATTCGTGGGAAAGGCCTGGACGCCATTGTAGGGTATCCTGTGCTCGGCTCGGCACTCGGGGCATTTTACCTAAATTATTTGCAGAAATATTTGCATTAGTTTAAGGCACATAATTTATACAGCCCGAAGGTGTTGAATTAATCATGAACTTGAAGATAGGCCACTCAAAGTTTCATTGTTTTTCTCTTATTTTATTCCCCATTAGTTAACAGCTTGGGGCTGGTTTGGGATTAGTAATTGAAATTTGATTGAACAACCTATTAGCAATTTGATTTCATTATTATTTGAAATACTTTAGCCCTGTGGCTTTGGTTATCCTTTTAAAAGTTGTTAAAGCTATTCTGTTCGCAACTTTAAAAACCTTTCACATTTTGTTAGTTGCATGTGAAGGCATCTTGAGTGCGTTTCTCTTCGATTTTATTATATCCTGTCATCTTTGTTTTCCGCCACAAAGGTATAACTTCGCTGGCGGGCTTTCCTTTCGCCTGACAGGTATTCGCAGCTCTCTCCTTATCTTCTTCTATATAAATTTCCTTATTTTCCTTCTGCATTTGGCCAACACAATGGGAAAATGCTTACCAATTATTTGCGTGGCGCTGGCTGAAAGCCAAAACAAAATTTATAAATACACGCAGACAGAGGCGCTGGCTGAGACTATAAGTAGCACACAGTCACTGTGTGTGTATTATTATTTTTTCTTTCTTGAGAAGGGAGCCTACATACATACATATATGCACGTCTCTCTATATAATTTTTCAACAAGATATCTACGCAAATGCGCCGCAAGCCAGCAAGATAAATACAACATTTTCGGGGGCGTCTCTTCTTGTGGGTTCCCTCCACCCAAGTTTCATTTCCCCGCCGAGATTTTCAGTTAAGCAAAGTAGCACTGTGTGGAAAATTATGAACCAGCATCAGGGGTATACTCATTGCCATCTCAATTAATTAACTTATTAAGGGTTAATGCACTTTACAATATATTTTGCAAAAGGAACATCTAAGAATATCTCTAAATAGTTTGTTTTTAAATATTTTTCTTTCATACTTTAAATATTATTTTTTCATTTGTGTAGGTATATTTTTAAGTATTAAACAAATTATTAAGATTATTAAGATCGATTAACCTTTTGTCTTCTTTTTTAATCCTTAATCCTCGAATCTTAAACTCAATATGCTATTAAATGGCTCATTTTAATTTTCCAAACTATTTCAAATCTAATGGAGACTTTTAAGTGGCCATTTCCCTTGTTTTTCCCAGTGTAACGTGTGACGTCGTCGGGCATTAACCAAATTGAGATGAGCTCGCACACAAAGACGACCTGCATCGCCGGCGATAGCGGCACAGTGGGATGATTAATGACAACAATGGGATCGTAATGGAGGGAGTGAAGTCAACACAGGACTCGGATGTCTCACCTGACGCCGCACATAGTCCACCAGGCCCTCCATGCAGGGCTCCATGCAGAAGGAGTGCTGGCATGGCAGCAGCTTGGGGATGCGATACCTGTCCAGGCAGACGCAGCACGTCAGCAGCTGCTCGAATTGCTCCATGGCTCACTGCAATAAAGAAAACAATACACAATTAGGGGCAGAAACAAAATCATTAGGCCTGATTCGATTATACCGCAAAAGCGCTGTCAATTTGATATTCATATCATTATAAATTCAGGACCTGCCCCGCCCTCAACTAAGCTCATCATAAGACGACAGGACGACAGAACAACGGAGGCGGTAAGCTCCCGCGCGGCAGCCAAAAAAGAAAATACATAAAAGAAAAGCAAGGAAAAATCCGATTGCCACGAAAATTCTTGCATTTGAATGAACGCACACCAGAGCACAGAGCACAGAACCCAAAAAGTCATACAATAAATTGACCATTTCGTTGTCGTAAGTCGCAGAGTCGCAATTCGCAGAGTCGCGGGCCGACTTCATTGGGCCCGGGTAAATACACTAAGCCACAAATCTGCTTATGGCTGCTTCATTAAAAGCGGCTCTGACAAGTTTATTTAGACGAAACCGAGCTCCCCTCGATCTCATTGGTTTTCCGCCCCTCTGAAAGCCCAGTCAAAGGCCTTCGATATGGGAATTTTGAATTCAATGCCTGGCTCCAATTTCACTTTTGCTTTTGGAGCTCTCCTTAATTGCCACTCAATATTTGTTTATTTATTTAATGAATGTGAAGCTTAGTTGACGAAAAATGAGGTTAAAAGATGGGTTGTTTCCTTTGAATGTTTGTGATTCACATTGCAGAACTAAAAACATGATTCACTTGCATTTCCTGCAGCTGTCAGAATATATTCATATTAAACATTTCACTTTGATGGTGTTTACGTTATCCATAACGTTGTGCATAAATAAAGAAAGGCAATTTAATGGTTTAAATGTTAAGATTTGAAGGTAGTTGTAAGAGCAGGTAACCATGAAAAACAAACTAATAAGAGATAGAATTCTAGTCAGCTAGAAAAGTCTTTCTTACATGAAATATTATATCGAGAAATGACTTTTTCTTGCAAAATTCGTTATAAATTCATATGAAATCATTTCTCTTTATCCAAACAGCTGCCAAATTAATATTTCTGTGGTCACAACATCACCATCATCAAAATCCCCTTGCATAATATCACAAACATATTTTAAGAAGTTGCAATAATATCTCACTCACTCTTGCCTCGCCGGGTATATGGAGAAAAGGGAACACATTGCTTGGCCGCACAGTTGAGATTTTAAGATTTTAATAATAAAAATGACACACATTTCTCGACTATAAGAGGAAAAGCAGCCCAGAGAGAATTTTCTGCTCGCAGAAAGACGTTGAAACTTATGTATATATACTTATATGTATATAAAGACGATTTCGCAGTTGCTGGGAATATGCACCGCATCGCTCATACGCCGCGTGTGTCGCACACAAAACGCGAACCAATGCGCACTTCCTGCTCGTAAATAAACACGACTATGTGGGAGGATATAGCCATGGTTCTCCATGCTTCTCCATGGTGTTCCATGGTGCTCCATGGTGGCTCCATGATGCCATGGTTCTCCATGGCTGCCACCGCTAATTGTCGTGCGCCTGTTTGCCATTATTGTCGTGTTTTTTGCTGCTGCTGCTGCTGTTGTTGTTTGGCCCGGGATGCTGGTATAGTCTGGTTTTTGGTTCAGTTATTTAAAGCATCAATTTAATGCGGCCAAGAGTTCACAAAAACGTATGCGAATAAAGTGCAATTAACTGGAAAATGCGCTTAAAATCAAATTGAATAGAAATTTTCGTCGCTTTCGCTCAAATTGTGCGTAACGCGAGGGCGGACTACTGTGTGTGTGCACACTCCTATGTGCCAGTGTGTGTGTGTGTGCTTGTGGCGAATCTAATTTAGCCATTGCATTTGTGAATCGCTGCTGAAAGGATTAAAATGAATGGCGAAAGCTGCTGCTAGCCAGCATAATGGAAAACCACCGCCAGGAAACCCCTCCGCAAAAACCCGAAACGTCCTTAGTTAAAATTTAGTTTAAATGGAGAGCGGCAGCATTGGGTTTTTCGGTTGAAAGAAATCCACACTCTCCTCTCCCACCTCCACCGCCACCTCCACCTCCCGAAATGCCAGCATGTGTCCTTGAATGCAATAGGTGGCCAGCAGAGCCAGTAATTTGGCCAAAATACCAAACCAATTACACCAGCAAGCATTAGAAAAATAAGCAGCGTAAGGGAAAAGGTGGAAAAGGTGTGGTTTTAGCCAGGTTTCTAGGTAATTAAATTCTTATATTGTTGAAAATATTTATAAACTTTGAAGCATTACTTTAATTTTGTATATTACTAATTATTTTTTAAGGGCACAGCTAGTTTCAGTGTTCTAAATGAACCCCCTCCAAACGTTTCCAAAACACTCTTCCCATTAAGCAAAATATCATGAAGACGAAGGCTATAGTTGGATGATTTTTCCCCGTGAATTTTCATGAATTTCCTCGGATTTTCGCAATGTTCTATTGTTTTTATTTAAGCCGCCAAGATTGATGGCGACAGTTGTTCAATGTTTTGTTTACAGCCAAAATACTCATTAACCTTGGCGAATGTTTTAAAATTAAGTTGCGTTATGTGATCAGGAAATACAAGTAAATGGCCGACAGGAAACGGAAATGCGAAATGCACACGCACACGCACACACACGCACTCTTGACCCTGGGCAAATTGGCTGCCAAAAAAATAATAAGAAAAAAAGGAAAACCCAAAATGGGTCAAACTTTTCGCGCGGGTGACAGTTCGGTGACAGAAAATCATCAACGCAAAGCACTGAGAATTGAAATCAACACAAATAAATTGAAATGAATTTGATGAAATTTGGGTCAACCGCAAAAAAAAAGCAGACAAAAAAACTGCGAAGAAAACTCACCAATAGGAAAATGGAAAACTGTTTTGGCAATCCTTGGGTATTGCTGTCAAAGCGGCACTCGAAGGCAATCATAAAATGCAATTGGTTTCTGGCAATGCGAGAATCCTTAAAACTTCAATCTTTTACAACTCGTTTCCGGGAGGCACTTTCATTTAATGTTATATACCATCGATTTCCGTTTCTATAAATCTAAATCTGTACTATTACCGAGTAAATTTGTTCTTCGCGTTACTTTTTTTTTAGCTTTTCTTGGTATATTTTTTGTTTTCGCTGGGCACAAACGCGCCTCGTAGAATTCGATTGGAAATGTAAAAAGCGACTGAAGGCAAGTGAAAATTGCCAAGCACATGAGTCTATAATATTTTAAATATATACAGTACGCTGGCTCTCTCTCTGATTATTTGCTGTATCTTATGTATATATCTTTTGAAACAAGAGAGAGAGAGAGCGAGTGGCGAAAGGAAAACAAAATAAGCGATCGCAAATATATATTCTTGGCACAACGCACCAAAGTGTGTGTATCTTTTGGCTGAATGTCTCCGACTGCATTAATGAAAGATCTAAAGATTCAAAGTACCCGAGAAATTTTCACTTGCAGTTAACCGAAGTTCCCTTTCGGGCCTGGGCTCTTCGCTAATTCCCTGCTACTTAACTTTACCAATTTATTCTAAATAAATATATATATATATAAACACGATATTGGTATATGTGAGCCTCTTTGACGTCATCGTTCTCATCATTGGGAAAAGCACGCCGGCATTTTCCATCTATATCCCATTTCTGCTGTGCTATTTGTGTGCTTTTGTGTATCTCGCTGTAACGGCGCCCTAAAAATAAACTTCATTGAAAATTGGAGCGAACGGCAGAGCGCTCGGATTCGTCCCCTTCTCACCCTCCAAAATTTCCCATATTTCTATGGAAAAACTAGCCAGGCATTCCGTTGTGCTAATTGAAAAGATTTCACCTCCAAAACGGGTGCAAAAGGTCTGCACTTCACTCACTCGCCTTTGGCTCTTTAAAGCAGCAACTCGAAGTTGTTGGAAAATTGGAAAAAGGAAGGAAAATCTATTACAAATTTGTTTGTAAAATATATTTACACTAACATATAGATTACGGTTTAGAAAATTAGTTTTAAATTTAGTTTAAGGCAGGTATTTTTAGGGCACAAAATGATTATTGGAATGGTTTGATTTGTACAAGTTATTTTCTGTTGCAATTTTTGAAGAGATTTTTATATTACAATTATATTAAGTATTTGAACGTATTATTAAAAGAATATAGCTACAAAAATAAAGGACACCTCCCGAAACAAAAGCTATTTATTTGTTAAGACAACAAGACCCATTTGAGTAGCATTTCTTCTTTAGAACTCCTCAAGGTCAGAACTCCCTTTCCCTCCCAATATACACACATATATGTACATGTATCTCCTATATGCATCTCCCTTATGGGAGTGGAGGTGCATTCGTTCGAAAATAGAAACTCACTAGCCCCAGAATTCACAGACTGCACTCGGACTGCCAAAGATAGAACTGCAAGCAAAATATTCAGCGGCTATAAATAAAAGGAGCAGACCCACAGACACAACATCAGCAGATGCAATCGAAACTTTTCGAAAAAGCAACATGAAAAAAAAAACAACTTTAAACTTTGAAAACGTATTGTGACGTTTCAATTTCAATGGCGGTTACTTACAGTTCGAAGGGATGCTTCTTCTACGAACTTCCGGCTGAGGTTGTTTAGGTATCCGAGGCGCCCTTGGGCGGGGCCCTTTAATTGTCTGTTAACTTTGCTGACTGAAAAAAGGAATATAAGAAGAAATATTTAAAGGAAATTGATAAAGAAATTAAATAAAATGTGGAGAGAAGCAATTATAAAAACCTCAGGTTTAAATTAAAATGTAATAAGAGAGCAACCTGCTGGATTATTTATTTTACTCTGACATATGAAATATATGTCAAAATTAAAACAATATTTTACTAAACTCTCTTCAGATATTTTCCACTATTATCCTGAAATATGTACGACTTTTTAAGATCACTTTAAAAAGTCTTAGGAAAGGGAAATCCATTTAACCAATTTGGCACTGCCTAATTGATGATTAATCGATAGAACTTTTGGCTGCTGCACAACCGGAAGTGAAAACGAATCGAATTGCGGCGGGGGGGTTCGAGGACAGAGACACCATGGCGACAGTGAAATAAAATGGCCACCGAATGATGGCCAGATCGATGAGACAGCTCTGCGTTTACCTGCCCATTAACACGCTGCAAATAAGCCGCTCGATGCCAACTTAATTACACAGCCTCAAAGGCTGTGGTAGGCAAAACAATGACGGCTGTGGGTGGTCGGCGATGATAGGTGACAGGTGTGGCATTTTGCTGGTAATGAAGTCCGGAATGCGCTCAAGCTTTGAGTTCGAGTTCGAGTTGGAGCTGGAGAGCATTGTGCAATGCGACTGATACGGATAAGCTCCTTTGGCCGCGTTAATGGATGAACAGCAGCAGGACAGGTGGCAAGGCAAGGTGAATGCTGAAAGGAGGTCAGCTTAATTAACCCGCTGGCTGCGTTCAATTAATGCGAACAATAAAACAATGGAAAACCAATTTCCGAAGCAATAATGACATGATTACATTCCGAGCTCCGAGGCAATAACTTTTCATATAACTTTTATTCGTTGTCTTCAGTAGGAGTCTCCGACAAGGCGGAAAAATAGATAAGTAAGCACTTTCAAAAAGGCATTGAGGTAACTTTCTATAGATTTGAGTTTATTTATTTATTATGGTAACTATTTTTCTACAAGTTTGGGAATTTTTAGAACATATTTAACCTCTGTGTATTATCTATGTAGATATATACAGATTTACTACATTTTTATATCAAGCAGTGTGAAGGAGTCAATTCCGACCCTATAAATCATATATATTCTTAATCAGCATCAACAGGCGAATCTTTCTAGGCCTTAAAAAAGTATATAAATTTTTGAAAATTTTTTGAAAATTTTTTAGGGTGTTATTATTGCCAGAAAAAAATGAAAAAAATTGAATTTTCCTACTTTTTATTTTGAGTATGCAGATTAATTAGACTAATAAAAACTAGCATAGGACTGCTTTCCGAATTAAAATTAAATCATTTTTGGCTTAGTTATGACTTTTTTAAACCTTGATTTGTTGAACAAAATTTTCGTATAAAAATATAAATAATATCGAATAAAAAATGGTATTTTAGCTTAAGTCAAAAGCTTATAACTCATGAAGCAGTCGTTTCCGACCCCATAAATCATATATATTTTTGATCAGCATTAACAGGCAAATCTTTCTAGGCATTAAAAAAGTATTTATATTTTTGAAAATTTTTTCAACATTTTTTAGGGTGTTATTATTGCCAGAAAAAAATGGAAAAAATTTAATTTTTCTACTTTTTATTTTGAGTATGTAGATTAATTAGACTAATAAAAACTAGCATAGGACTGCTTTCCGAATTAAAATTAATGTTTTTTTGGTTAAGTTATGAGTTTTTTAAGCATTTATTTATATGAATTTAAGTCAAACATCAATACAAAATGTAATACTAAACAACTTGGTTATCAAAGGTTCAAGTTGTAGAACTGTAAGACTAAGCTCTTAATCTGTTACCTATACTTCGGTTGAAAATTAAATAAAACATAAATTGATCACAAAATAAAGATGAAAAGATGATGTTACGTCTTCTATTGCCGATGCTCTTAAAACAGATGCTATAAATTCGAGCACTTAAATCGAAGTGAATTTAAGTGGGATTCTGTGGCAGAGCATGCTGCAGGAAAACTGCAGTCAGTGGCACTTGTTTAGTGTTTTTGCCAGTGACCTTGAACTTCCACGTAGCAGCTAACGAGAGAAAGAGAGGGAGAGGAAGAAACAAGAACGAGAAGAAACGATACGATAGCAGAAGGCGCAAAATAAGGCCTAAAGGAGGATGCAGAAAACTGTTGCCTACTTTCAGGCGCCTCATAAATTCACACTCTCGCACACCTCTAATCTCTTTGGGCATTATTTTTGCATTTCGGGGATGAAAAATTAAATGATGTATTTGTTTTCCGTGTGAAAATGAAAATAAACACCACAGCAGGAACCTCAAACATTCAAAGCAAAGCAAAGGGGACGAACAGAGGAGAGCGGTGAGAATGGGGAGAGAAACTGAAAACAAAAGCAAACAAAGCAATCAATGATAAGCGAGGCAGCGGGCAAAAGACAAACACAAACAGAAAAACACAGAGAAGCAGAAATGGAAATAGAAAATCTCTCTGAAAATGTCGCTGATTGAATCGAACTAAAAATAAGGCAGGCAACGCGGCGTATGAGCAATGTGCGTGAGCTTGTATGCGTTAGTGTGCAAATTATTGCCATGCCTTCAAATGATGTATACGTATATAAAAGCCCCATGGATCCTCATCTCCATATGTATACACATATGTGTGTGTGTGTATTTTTTGTTAATAAATTTTTCAAAAGCTGTGAGAATAATTTTTGACAGCCTTTCTCATCGTGGGTGTGTGTCGTCGGCCAGGTGACATTTTCACGCTATATTTTCCACCCTCCCGCTCTGTCTCGGATTTTCTCTACAATTCTCACGCCTTTTCTCTCGCCTTTTTTTACATAATCAGCGCTGCTATTGAAAGCAATGAAGAGCTCATCTCCATGTGAAAGCAAGGACAGGGACTTTCCACACACTCACTCGGTTTGATTTCTTCTATTTGTCGGTGTTTCGCGTAACTCTTGCAAATTTATTCGCATGCCTCGGCGGCGGCGGCGTTAAAAGGACTTTCACTTGGTCTTCACTTTCAATCAGATTTCAAGATTTCTTAAATATGGCAATATATATATTTTATCCAACACTCGCGCCACGTTTACTGGTGCTCCTGATGGCGGCACCCTCACGCACAACGCCGCGACAGGTGAAAGATCTGTGAGGAGATCTCTCCACCTCCCTATATATACACTATATATATATATAAATATATATAAACAGATATCGAACTGGGGAGCTATATAGGTGTTAGATCGATCGCGCACGTCCACTCGCGAGCGTGCCAGAAATGAAAATGAATGTTATTTCTACTCGCGGCCAGAGTCGCTTGATGATCAGCCGTTCTTGAGGTGAAATTTTATAAATATAACCTGAGGCAACAACAACAACAGCCACAAGATAAAATATTTGTGTGTCTTCTTCCCACTTTCCCAAAATTTCTTCTTGTTGTTTCTCGGCTTCACCCGACCCCAACGAACCTGTGTGTATATGAATGTGTATTTCAATATACAATATTATATAGATTTTCATATATTCCGAATAATTTTCTGTAAGAATTTTACAATGTCGCCATGAGGGAGAGTATATTTGTATATGGTTATTACCTGTTATTGTTTTGCCTTATTCCGCAGTTTCTTTGCGTGAAAATTTCACTTTTCCTGTGTCCAGAAAAAGAAAAGCCAAGGAGAAGAGATCAGTGCCCACGCATTTATCTTTAAGTATGATTCATTTGGTCAGCTTCTTAAATATTTATAGAAAAACAGTGAAAAGCGAAGGCCTTTATTGATACTTATATAGGAAAAGGAAATTGATGTCTTAACAAATATAGCCAGAGTTTTATATGGTTATTGGATGAAGGCACGATTAAGCAATCAAGCAAAGGAAATTTATTAAGCAGGGGATTTGTTGTTTAATTAACTTTGTTACCAGAGAAATTTAAGGTTTCATTTGTGGTTAAGAGATAAATATAAATGTGAAAATAAAGCAAGTAATTAATTAATTAACATGCTTATTTAGCCCATGGAAGCATTTATTTATCAACTGCAAATATACACGCAGACAGTAAATGTTTATTGAAAACCAAACCACCCCTATGGATGCCTCTTAAATTTATTAATATTTTCCCCAAACCCCATGTACTACATGTTTAGCATGCTATGAATAGCATCATTCCTCTCTGTCACCACTTTCTACATAATTGGTCTGCATTTTGCCTTTTCTCGCCAGACATTTGGTCTTTTGTCTGGCCAGTGCAAGTCTCCCATGGCAGCAGTCAGTCGCCTGTCAATCGTCTGATGAATTGAGTTCTCCTCATCTTCCGCTAAAAACAAAGCCACAGCTTCAGCCGAAAACAAAAACAAAACAACAAAAACAAAATAAATAAATAAATAAGCAAAAATAATAATAATTGCGATTTATGAGCGGGACCAAAACAAAGATGTCAACGCGTTATGCCAAGGCAGCTCCAAGTTGTTGACGGACTCTAGGTCAGTCCCCATTAACATTGCCATAGCCAATGCGTAGCTGTATCCTGAAGAACACTGAGGGAAATATAGGATTTCATGGAACATATATTATATGAAAATAACTAAAATATAATATTTAAAATTAGTTTTGTATATTTACAGAATATCGATTTATCACACTCATATTGTAATGTTATATTGACTCTCGCCAATAATATTTCTAAACTACATAAATATTATTCGTCACACCCAAGAGGCTTGATCTTATAATGAATTTATATATTTTTTCCCAGTGTAGAATATTTTTGCTTTTCATCACCACATTTCTGCGCAGTTGTGGCTTTTCTTTGCTTAATTGGAATTGCGTTTCACCGGTGAATGCATGGCGAGTGCAGCCATATTCTCGGTTCTCTATTCGCGATTCTCAGTTCTCTGGCGACAATTGTATCCGAAGCGGCATTCCCATTAGGTGGAGCCTGCGTAGACGAGAGCTTCTCATTAGGCCCGAGCATGATTAATTAGAACTGATGGATGGCCAATTGACAGATGGCATAACGAGCCAGCAGAGCGGCCACGAGCAAGGATACATTATTGATGGACATGTGTGCAGGCTGGGAGGAAACACTTGAAAAGGGGACACTCGGCAGCGCCTTGGCTAATTGCCCCAATGACAAAAAGGGAGGCAAGGTGGCAAGGAAGAGGTAACCCATATACAGAGAGAAGGCAGCCAACGTGGTAAAGTGGCAATAATAACGAATTAGCAAACAATTTCAAGTATTAGCCAAGCAGAACTAACCAAGAGGGTGGTCATGAGAGTTGTCAGTTGATTTATATTTTACAGGAGAGCCAAATTGCAATTCATTGAGATACATTTTGTAGCAGAGGAATTGATTAAAGATGCAAAAAGGTGCAATCTTATTTTCTTACAAGCTAAAGCTAGCTAATATAGTTTATTTGAATTGTAAGAAAACCCATTAAAATATATAAAAGAAAATCTAATTAACAAACATCGAGTGCTTGTCAGCATTTCCCAAGAAACTTAATTAAAATCTAATGGTCCACAGAATTTAAATATTCCATGGAAAGTAAATCCATTTTTGTTGAATTTTATTGACAATCACTCAGTTCATTAAAGTTATTAAATACAATTTATGGAGAAGAAAAAGATTTACTGGTAAATCAATACAAAGAAGGGAATTATTACAAATTGTACATATTGAAAGGAAAGTAATTAAGGTAAATTTAAGACCTGGTTTACCAAGTGATATTTCCTGCCAAGTTTTTCTCAGAAACTGCCTAATCACACCTCCCCAGAGGCATAAGGAATAAAGCCTCGTACGAGGGAGGCGCTGGCACCACTCCAAAAACAAACTATTTCCAGTCAGACAAATGGCGTTAAGCACATAATAACCAATTTCTGTAAATACGGCCATAATTATGAACGCCTACACACCCACACACACTCCACCCATACGGCCAACACACACACACAAAAGGATCCTCTTGTGAAGTGTTGCTGCTTGTTCCTTGTTGCTGTTTTCCCTACTTCATTTGTAGGCGCTTGTTCCCGCGAACTTAGTTTCACCCCAAAAAAAAGGCAAAAGAAAAAGTGAAAGTGAATGCGAAAGTAAATGCGAAAGTAAATGCGAAAGTGAAAGTGAGAGCGGCACAAAGTTGGCAAGTGCGAGAGCAGGGGCAAGGGCAAGGATTTATCGTAATTAGGCATGCATGAGCATATGCTGTCGTCTAAGCTCAAGGATATGACTCTTATCCCAACGAAGGGGAATTACACCGAAATAAAATTTTCAAACCATAAATGAACTCTTAAAACCAACCACAAACTATACATATGAGAAATGCTAGTTAAATTTAAATATAAATGAAATGTAATTAACCAGCTTTAGGAATATATTTTCTGGCTGAATAAATATTTAATATATATTTATAAATCAACAATAAAATATAAATTTTGCACTCAGAATTGAGCTAAAAATTATTTTAAACGTTTTATAAAAGAATCTTGCTCAGAACTCAAACAAACTCTCTTATTTTAATCACATTTTCTCGCCGTGTGAACCAACACAGACTTGGGCAAACATCAGCTAAGAAAAGGGGGTAAAGCCGGGTAAAGAGGGGTAAGTAGAGCCGCGAGAGGGAGGTCTAAGGCCCCCCAATGTACATAATTAATTGTGCTGCTGTGTTGGCAAACACGCGGGCGCCGGAAAGTAGGCAACACGCTTTTTTCGGCAAAACGGTTCGCCGTAATTGATTGCCTCATGCACGTCACACACACACGGAGAGAAGTAAAGCCATATGTGTGCGTGTGTAATTTCCGGCGAAGCTACAAGTATTTTTAAATGAATATTTCTTTAATTAGTTCGCTGCTGGCACAGCTATTTGCTGCGGCTCTCAGAAAAAGGGGTTTCGCCTTCGGTTTGGATATGCTAAAAGGCCAAGCCACAAAAGACTTGACCGCAAATAATAATGCACAAATGCTGCCAGGCCGCAAGTGTTTCCAGGCAACACACATACACACACACTCGCACTCGCACGCTGGGAATATTTTCTTAAATTAACATTAGCAACATTTGGAGATGCCATTAAGACGGTCGCCTGGCAGCCATTTGCCAAGACTCTCGCCCAGTTTCAGACCCAAAAGGTCAACCCGCAGGGCACAGTTGTAATTCGGTAGCTAGAACTTAAGACTAGAAGTTTCTGGGCTTCTTAAAATTATAAAATATAATAAATACAAATTGAAATTATATTCCATACTTTTATTAAACAAGTTGATTTATTTTTTAAGAATTATTTTGTGTAAGTAAATGCTTTAGAAAGAAAATCAATAATATTATTCTACTCTAAATGCAATATTTAAGCATCAAAATATTTTGTAATATTGGAACTCAACATAATACTAATGAAACAAATGAAATAATTTTATTAAAACTCTTTTAAGCGCAAGAAAATATATCAATTAATGGGAAAGAATTCAAATTTTGCCTGGACTACTCCACGAATTAACCGTGAGATATATACAAAAGGAAGTTAAATGATTTATTTTATGTAAAACTAGAGCAAGTATAAATTCAGGAACTTTCTTAAAATCTCAAACATCCTGTCTTAGAAACTTACATATATTTGTCTCCATGAAAATCCTGGTTAAAGTCTTCGAAGTTCCCCTGTACATTAACCCTTAGGAAATTCTCCCCTAGTTCAGTGGCCGAAAACAGTTAAGCGTAAACATTGTCGTTTGTGTTGGCCTTGGGTTTAGTTTGGCTTCTTCTTTAAATATTATGACCAGAGGCCTAAGTAAACCAACTAACTCCGGTGGCCATTCTAAAGGGAGCGGAGCGTTATTACCTGGCGCCAGTCAAATTAGCAGGGACATCAGAAATTGCGTATACGCAGTGTAGGACCTTTTGGACTGTCGCTCGTGTTCATAACCCCTTTCGCAGGCTGCTTTGCCACAAAACAAAACGTCAAATGTTTGCCTAACGGCAAAACATTAACATTTAACCTTGGAGGCACAAATTACCGGATTCTTGTCACCTCCAGCACCAGAACCAGGACCAGGACCAGGACCAGGACCATGAGCTCGGAGGAAAAGTTTGTGTGTGTGTTGTCCGCAACTTTTTACCTCAGCAGGCGGCCGACCCATAAAAAATCCTGCGGTGTGGCATCAACAGCTATGGAACATATGCGCCACTCCCCCCACCATTCCCCCCACCTGGCACTTCGATGATGATAAGAGTGCCGCAGCATCGCGGCGTTCCGGCATCTTGGCAGCCCTCTGAATCCTTGGGTATCCTTGCCAGCAGCATGACGTCGTCGTCGACGGCGCCTTGTGATAAATAGCTTGATTTCAAGCGAAAGGCGCGGGAGTAGATTTATGACACACGCATTTTCCGCCACCGAGAAAGTGGAAAGTCAGCTCCGGTTGGGAAAAATCAGCCCCGACAGCAGGCAGCGGAAAAGAATAACACGAAGATCGAATGTCACGCAACAGGCAAGGACACAGTAATGTATCGGGGAAAATCGCCCATTTAAAGCGAAATTTTCATATTCATCTCAGCCCATTGATTTAAGCCCATTTTTCATATATCATATATCTGGTCTGTGTCCTTGAACTGTGAAAGTGTAATTAAAGCACATTTAAGTATCGGGGAAAACCCATTGAGGGCTAATGAATATTAAGGAGTTTATTAACAACAACAAAATCATAGTTGAAGCAATATATTCATATTTAAGTAGCTTTTAAGTACAGTTTATGGAATACCTGTGGACAAAAGGGTAAAAATGAACATAATACAAAATATTCAACTGGGGAGAAGCGATAATAATAATTAAAGAAAACTTTATAATTGGAAAATGTTTGAAGAAAGGAATAATATAAAATCCCTTTTTGTAAACTCCCAAGAAGCTCTTTTATGCGTAAATATATTTCATTTGTCCATCTATCAAACCCAGCAGGAAACTTTCAATTAAATAATGACAAACATTGCAGTTGAAAAGCATTTTTAATATCGCTTCATTTTTTGCAACCACCATTTATATAACCATAAATAGTATTTATGGAAACTTGACTTGAATCGGAAAGCGGAAAAATAAACTTGATTGAATGGCATTTTAAAGCTAAAGTTGCAAATTTGCAACGAAGAGAGATATTTTCATGGGGAAAACGATTGACCATTTTATGGCTTTTCCACTTGAAATCGGTTACGCAATCGAGCGAGTTTCTGCTTACGACTTAAGCTGGCGACAATTGTGGGTAAGAAGGGGGAAGGGGGAGGTGGAAAAATTGAATCATTCCTTGAGTCAAAGTTTTTTGATTGAACATTTAAAGGAACACCGCGATTGGGTTTCGTGTTCGCGTCCGGATTCGATTCCGAATCGCGACGCGGTAGCCATGGTATTCCTTGGCAATTTCCTTTGCCGGAGTCTTAGCTAAGCTGCTTACACTCGCCCACCGAAGCACACTCAACCCACACACACACACACACACACCACAGAGAGAGAGAGGGAGTGTGCTATGCGATGGCGAAGCAACCTCAACAATTTCAACATCCGGCTTCCGCTGCAATGTAATGGAAACTCGAGGCGAGCGTCTTGCCGCCGTGCTGTGCCAACATATTAAAGTTGGCAAATGCCAAAAAGGGGGGAAAAAATAAATACACTGGGGAAAATGAGATAAGTAAGTATTGATTTTAACAGATAACATATTATCCTTGCTTAAAAGTAAGCCTTAAGAATGCCATTTAATGTCTTGCTCTTGCTCTCTGCTTTTATTTGCAATTAAATACTAATTTTAATCCCTTTTCTCTCTGCAGAATCAGAATCCTTAAGCAGGACTTGTCTCCTATACTCAGAAAGTGTCGGGTGCGGAAATCCAAGGCAAGACAGGAATAAAACCGAAAGTGACACATTGCAGCGGAACGATGAGAGGAGCAGCTCGGAGCAGGAGGGTCTCGGGGTCTACGTTGGCTTTAAGGAAAACTGAGGGGCGGGGACGACAGGTGGCACCCGGGGGCTCCACATAAATCAGAGCCGGGCCTAAATGCGAACTCATAACTCCCGCACCGCATATCTTTCTTGGCGGGGGCCTCGTGATTAATTGCTCGCTGCGGCGAATGTGGAAATTATTTTAATTTTCCAGCGCCACGCGCATAATTCGCGATAAACCCGGAGAACAAAAAAATATTCAGTCGGAACTGAACACTTATGCGCCAGATAATGCGTTAGGGTCTCGGGGCAAATCTCGATATATATATGAATATTTTATGCAGATTTATCTGGCGAGTTATTTTCATGAAATGCACATTATGAGGCGCCTGCGAGGCAACGGTGCGTATGCGTGATATCTGAAACGTTTAATTCAAGTCGTCAGCGAGGCGACGGCGACGGCGGCGGCTTAATTTGCAACTCAAACTTAAAACCAAATTCTGGGCCATCCCAGGCCAAACTACTTTTATGCCACCCCGAAACCCCGAAATGCAGTGCAAACTGCGAGAAAAACTTTTGAATCGTCCCGCTTTTCTTTCTTTCAGTTGCTCGAGGAGGAAAACTGTGCAAGAAAATGCAGGGGAAGGGGGAAGTTGGGGCTGCACCCCAAGCCAGGAAGTCAAATAAAAAGTTTTCCGTCAACATTACGCAAATTAGTTTGTCAGTCGACGAGCCAAGCAAATGCAGCCGACAAAACCCTAATGACATTTAGACTAAGGGAAAAGTTATACCCGTAGAGCCTAAGCCGAAATCCCGGCTCCAGCCTTAAGCTGCATCCGTCATCCTTCTTCGGCCCGTAGTTCCTCTACATCACCATCATCATCATCGTCATCGTCTTCAGTTGGCTGCGCCTAATGGTTGAAGTTTTTTAGAGCCACGGCAATTAGGATTTAGGCGGCTTTATTTTGTTGAAAAATAAATCAAGAAAAAGTCCCACAATGTCTATGTTTTATTTCAACGAAATTCGAATTCTTAGCTCTCAGACAACATGATTTAGATTGACGAAGTTTTCAATTACTTTCTTTTAAATACAAAATTATAATTATTTTCAATCAACTACAAATCTCTTTGAAGTAATCTCAATTTGTTCAGTAATTCACTGATAGATACAAATTATAATTGAAGGCTTATTCTTTCATCTTTAATGGGATATCGGCTATCATCCTAATGGTCCAGCAGTTTATTCCCCCTGACAATTATGATGATGATTCCGGGATTCGATTCCTCTCATTCGATATGCATTAATATGCTGTTTTCTGCCGACGAAATCATAAAATCAAATATGCATTGAATTACCGTGTACCGGCAGGACAATTATATTATACCTTCTGACTACCGAAAGAACCGAAAAGAACCAAAAACCCAAAGAAATAAAATGGAAAGTAAGCCGAGGGAAAAAAAGGAATATTTAACTCAATTTGCTGGCCGTAAATTTGGTACCACAACCAGCTGGGCCGCCCCACATTCACATCCTCCTCCAGAGAACAGAAAAAAACCCCTAAATCGGCCGCATTTTTCACTCAACATTTTGCCGGTGTACAAATTTTGTTCGTTGTTTTTTTGCTGTTCTTTATTTTTATTCCCGTTTATGCGCAAAAGTGCGTGTAATTCAATTTTTCATGCGCTATGTGACAAGGGATGTGGCGCCAAGCGGCATTGGGAACAATTGGGAGAGGCGGGGAATGGTGTTAGCGGCTACCTTTTCTGCTTCAAAATTAAGACAAGGGAAAATATGCGCCAAGGGCATATTAATACATATACAAATTTGGCACGTCATTTTCCACGGCAATGTCCTTCTTATATTGATGGCCGATCCCTTTATCTTTATCAATTTTTGATGCCTTTTTCGAACCCTTTTTTCTGTAGGGTTTTGGGTTTGCTTTCTGTTCTTGGGAGTTTCCTTAACAAATAAGGGATTCCCCGTTTTTCTTTTTTTTTCTTTTTTGTATATCTATGTGTTTTAAGGAATGTTGCATCCTGAGACCCTATGGGCGTGTGCGAATGCGTCGTACGCGAGCACGAAGACGAGCACGCATAGCATCATTTTGGGCAGACTGATATTCTACTGCTGCTACTAATGATCCAGCTTCTGCAGCTCCTCCACCTGCTTCTGCAGCTCCTCCACCTGCTTCTGCTGCTCCTCCACCTGCTGCTGCTGCTGCTGGTGGTGCTGGTGGTGCTGCGGCTGCTGCTGGTGCAGCTACTCCTGCGGATCGTCTTCCTGTTCCTCCTCCAGCTCTGGTGGCGGCTCCTGTTCCTGCTGTTCCACCTGTTGTTCTTGCGGCTCCTGTCGCTCCAGCTCTGGCAGCTGCTCTGGCCGCCGCTCTGGCGGCTGCTCTTGCAGCCGCTTTTGCAGCCGATCTTGCGGCTGCTCTTGCGACTGCTCTCTCGGCTGATCCTCCGGCAGGTGCCACGGCTGGCACCACTGCTGATCCATTGGCTGCTCCCCAGGCTGCCCAGGGTGCTCTTCCGGCTGCTCCTCCGGTTCCTCTTCCAGCTCCTGGCACGGTTCCTCTCCCAGCTCCTGCCCCGGCATTTCTTCCAGCTGCTCCCCCGGCAACTCTACCAGCGGTTCCACCTGCTACTGCAGCCACTCCTCTTCCAGCTGTTCCCCCAGCCACTACCACTGCTGCTCCCCCTGTTGGTCCTCCTGTTGGTCCTCCTGTTGGTACAGGAATGATCCCTGTCCCTGAGCCATGGGCTATGCGATACAAGTTTGTAGCTATCACATTGCGCGCATTGCGCGCCATTTGACGATTGGATATTGGCACCGAACGTCCACCGCTTGGAGGAGGCATTGCCCACTCATTGGAGAATCGGAATCCGTCCTCCCTCATGCTGCGCTCAATGGCCATCTGGAGCTCGAAATTCGCAAACGCAGCAGAGGCCGATGTACTACTGACGCCTGTCCCGGCCGGCAATGGTGGCTGTTCCGAAGTGGACTGCTGCGGCGGCTGCTGCTGCTGCTGCTGCTGCTGAGATCCCGAAGCCGAAGTCGGGGTCGCCGTCGCCGTCGTAGATGCGGCCACCACCGAAGGGGCAGCTGAAGTCGAAGCCGCCGCCGCCGCCGCCGCTGCTTCCGTTGCCGAGGCCACTACCGGATGTCCCGATGGCAACCAGGCCGCCAATTGGCGTGCAAAGCTTCGGCTGGGGAAACCTTCCTCCAAGGCCAGCATCATCAGCGAAACGTCCTTGCGCTCGAGTATAAGATCATTCAGCTCCTCAGCATCCTCGTCCTCCATCAGGAGATCCGCCTCGAAGCCGCCGCAATCATCCGGATTGATGCGACGCGAGAACTCGACAAAGCTATGCAAGACCGGCGACGTGAACTGGCCCTGGCGCCGTGCCTCCGCCGAGGTGCTCGGCCCGTCGAAGTCGTCCTCCTGCAGGGCCTTGTACTGGACACTGCACTCGTAGGCGATAATGTCCTCGTACGGCGACCGGGCAAAATTGATCAGTTCGTGGATAAAGTGATTAGTCTTGGTCCCTAGGTGCTTGACCAGCGCCTCCTTGAACAGGTCACTGGCCATGCTTATCTCCGGCAGCATGTCCAGGATGATTTCGAAGACAGCGAAGATTTCGCTTTTCACGTGCAGCAGGACGGAAATGTCACGGTTGACCCAGTTCAGCACCCGATGGACATCATAGGAGCCATGTCTATGTAGGACATACGAAATTTTAGATTTCATTCATTCTTCATCTGGATGAAAAAACTTACTTGAAAGTCACCGGGGACCAATCACGATAAGATCGTACCTCTCGTTCTGGCATGGAGTACAAAGAATTGGCGTACACGTAGATCCGCCATTGGACCATCTGACGGGGCATCATCTTTCCGATCAGTTGAAAGTAAGTTTTCCCTACGAAATCGAATAATGAAAAATTGCCTCGAATCGTACATACAATGTATGTATGTGTCTTGATTCCAACGTTCCGCTTGCAGGCTTCGAGTTACACACGCACACACTTGCACTTCTTTTCTGCCAAATTACACAAAAGTTTATTTTTTGAAAGAGGTGGAAGATTTCAAATGTTTATTGAACAAAGCCTAAAGTCAGCTTCTGCTGAACGTAAACAATTGGTACCTTATTGCTTTTATGGGGGACACTTCTAATAGCAACGAAAAATTGAAATAAACAAATTAATGCGAAGCCGTCGAGATCGAAAGCCGGAAAAGCTGTGTTCACGTTTCTACGAAGGTCTCAATACACGTTACGATATCGATACAAAATGGAAACTTTTGCGAAACGTTGAAATCATGTGAAACAAAAACATCGGGCGACTAGAAAATGCGTTAAATATGTTTGTAAAAAAAAACAAAATAAAATATATTAAATATAAATAACACATATGACTTTGAGGTCTTATAAATTGGTATTAACATATATTTAAATTATAGACATTATTATGAAGTAATAGAAAAATTCCGTTTATGTTAATTAAGGCCTGTCTACAATTTTGATGCTTTATTAAAAAGTGTTTGGCTTTAAACCTTATTCATGTACTTATGCAAGCCTTATATTAAATAAATATACATATATATAATAGAATATATAAATAAATAGAATATATGCTTAACTAATTTAAGCATTTAAAAAAACCGTCATGCATTTTTATATCAAAAAAAAGAAGTGTACACTAACTAGTGTGCGTCAAACAAACAGCATTTGTCGGTGTTAATAGTATATTTCAAATGTTTCATTTGATATTTAAATGAAAAATAAATTAATCAAATAGTCATATTTATTTGATGTATTTCTTTTAGATTGCTTATTTATTGTTTCTTTACTTTATATAATGACTCATAATTAACCGACAGTTAATCGGTCAGTTAGTTTTACTAGTTTTACCTACTCCACCATAAAAACTCCAAACAAATGTTTTAATTTAATCATTACATTTATTATGTATTTGATTCGCATTATATTTATTTTTTTGTTTTGTTGTATGCAGAGTACTCTATATTTAATAACTGGCCACGCCCATTCATGCAAAAAAACATTAACACTACCGCCATACAATGAACCAGCGCAGAGTTCTATCGTTTTTAAGTTACAAAGATAGTTGCCACTAAAGTTATAATTATAATTATGTATAATTAGTATGTGTAGGCTGTGGGTTAAACGGTTATAAATATACATTCACAGTCGATGTCAATCGAATGCATTTATTTGGGGGTGGGGTGGGTAAACATTCAGAGGATATATGCAAGATATATGTATGTATATATGTATAAGTATGGATGTGTATGGAGGTGCGTCAGAATAATATTTACATCTTAAAATGGCAACCTTAGTCTAGGGCTTACAACTAAAGCTTACGTGGCAAATTACATTAATGAATTATTTGAATTCTTTTTTTTGGATTCAGGAATTGGAACGCGACGAGACGGAAACCAGGGAACTATATTTGAAATTACAAAGTTAAAAGATCCTCCTCATGCACCTACTCCTACAGATAATCATCATCTTCGTCTTCGTCGTCGTTGTGGTTATCATTAATATTCTCTGCCAATTCTCTGCCTTCCCCTGCATTTTCTTCTTCCTCCTCCTCCTCCTCCTCGTCGTCCTCTTCCGCATCCTCGTCCCCGTTTTCATCTTCTTCCTCGTCTTCATCAGCCGTAGCCGTATCCTCGGCAGTTTCCCCTTCGGCCTCGGCCGCATTCAACGCAGACTCAGATTCCAGGGCATAACCACCAGTTCGCTCATGACGTAAAAAGTTGAGGGCCACGTCTATCAGGGATGGCGCCATATCGTCCTCATCCTCTAACGGCAGAGCCTCGCGCATCAGGGGATCGCTGCCGTAGCTAGCAGCTCGCCAATTGAACGAACTAAGTGGCCCCGAACTCGTTGTAGTTGTCGTGGAACTGCTGGCCAAGCTGGCACTCTGGCTGGACAGATTGCTGTGATTGCTGCAGCTGCGCCGCCGCTTGGGGGCACTGCAACCTGGCGCGTCGGTATCTTCTGGCGGCGTTGGAGGCTGCGCCTCATCAGGCGTCGGAAGTTCCGGCGGCGGATCCTCCTGCTGCTGTTGCTGCTCCTGCTCCTCTTCCTTCGGCTGCTGGGTCTGGGATTGCTGCTCCTTGTGGTCCGCCTCTTCGTCGTCGTCGTCATCATCATCATTCTCGTCGGGCATTTGCAGCTCGAGCTTGAGGGGTTTGCGATCCTCCAGAGTTGCCTCCGCCTTGAGAGTAGCTCGCAAGGCGCTTAGCTGCAAATTCTCAGTGCTGTCATCATCCGAATCATCACTGCTGGTATTATTATTGTTGCGGCCGGGAAACTGTGCACCTGGGATCAAAAATAGCAGAAAATTAATTGGTATCGAACGGTGCTAGGTATGATAATAAATAGTGCCATTTCTCGGAAACTCACCCGACGACTCGGAGCTTTCGCCAGCTGATTCGTCAGCACACGAACTACAGCTATCACTGCTGCTCTGCTGCTGCTCTTTGTCTTCTTGCTGATGTGCCGCAGCCTCTGCTGGTGTCCCAACCCTTAAAGTTTCCGCTGCCTGACGTCTAGATTTTCCTTTTTTCCTCGGAGATTTGCCTAAGACTTTCCGGGTGGCCACTGCCTTGCGTTTCTTTTTCTTAGTGGACGCTGAAGGATTGAAGGAACTGCTGTCGCTGCTGCTTTCCTCATCGCTGCTAGTGGTCCAGCCAAAGGATGAGCTGCTTTCGCTGCTGCTGGCACTGGCACACCGGGCGGGAATGGAGGAACGTTGCTGTCGCGATCTCTTTGAGCGTGTGGAGCGCGTGGTGCGCATTTGATCTTGACGCCGGACCTCGGCCATCACCAGCTTCCAGTTCTTGCCCCTGGTGGCCGCTGCACTTGTGCTGGGTCCCATGAACAGACGCGACGTCTGGTCCACTGACGACATAGTTGCCGGATCAATCCCAGCCTGATCCTCGGGATTACTCGGGTTAACTGTCGAGGGATCGACAGCGGCGTCGTTTTGCTCATTGACGAAAACCACGTCTGAGTCACTGTCTGAATCAAGACTTACTTGCTCGGGAGTTCTCAGATGTGGTGGCTTGAGCTCGAGGACAAACACGCACTCGTCTTCCTCGCCAGAGCTGCTGCTGCTGCTCTGCAGTTCGATGTGGGCACTAACGGGGAGGGTGGCGCCGGCATGGCGTCGACTGGAATTGCTTCCGTCATTGATGGCTGCCACCTCGGCATTGGCAGCGGCGTCGCCGTCATCGATCTCAATGATCTCAGCTGGCGTCGCCTCGCCGCCGGCCGGCGCTGGACGTCGCATACTCAGGTTAATGGCCACTGTTTGCGACCCCACATTGGAGGTGGTGGCGGAGCGGCGTATGGAGATACCCGGATGCTCGGTGCCATCACTGGCCATAGTCACACTAAACGAATGCGTTGCACTGGGATTGGTCACTATCACACTGGTTGATGGACGTCCTGCTCCAGATCCTGCTCCTCCATTGGTGGTGCTCCATTCATTAGACGCTTCGGTACTTGGCGCTTCGCCATCTACGCCGTCGCCCACCTCCAAATGTAGATCACTTTCGTTGGAGGATTGTGTCTCCACCATGTCCAGCAGATCCACTTCCACCTCCTCGGCCACCCGAGCCGAGTACTGAACGACATGGTCGTAGCCGATCATATCGAAGGGGGAACGGGCAAAGTTGAACAGCTCGTGGATGAAATGGCTTGTTCGGTCGCCCAAATAGGGCGACAGGTGGCGACGGAATGTGGGTCCCAGGATATTGGTCATCGGCAGAATGTCGTGCATCAGCTGCATCACGGTGCCCACGCTGTGGGCGGCATTCCGCAACAGGCAGACAATGTCTCGGTGAATCCAAGGCATCAAGCGATGCATCTGGGCGGGATTGTTTCTGCAACAGAGAGAGCTATAGGTTTCCAAAGAGTGCGGGTATACTACAACTTACCTGTAAAAGCGGGCGCTCCATTCGCGAAAGTGTCCCGTCAGGCTGTCGCTCACTGGCAGGGCATATAGCTTCCTATCGTAGACATAGCGCCGCCACAGCTGAATCAGGGAGCTGCTGCCAGCGGTGGCTGCATCCGGTTCGTGTCGGTAGAAGTTCATCAGCTCCCAGCGATACGGCTCAAAACGATTGTAGGTGTGACGGCCACCTGAAGCCTCCACAGCCGGTAGGACTTCCTCTGCGGCCAGTACTCCTCCCGCTGCTCCAGCTGCGCCGCTCCCGGCACCAATGCCTGCCTCAATGTCATTGGTCATCACGGCCTGATTCTGGACCAGCGGCATGAATCTGGGACGCCGGACAATGTGGAAGCGCATCGCCGGATGATCGGGCTGCGAAGGCGAAGAGGTCTGCACCGGGTAGCGGTCGTAGTCGTCCAGGGTGCGCACATTATGGATGATGGTCTTGAAGCGCTGTTTGCACAGTGGGCATTCGGCCTTGATCTGGATTTGGAACGGGGATTAGAAATGAAAGTGTCTTAGAAGGAATTGCCACTACTTACCTTGCTCCACTCGCAGAGGCACTTGAAGCAGAACTGATGCATGCAGGAGTCGGTGAAGCATTTTCTGTGACATCGCGACAGGCAGATGGCGCAATTGGGCGGCGGCGAGGAGCGTGCCCCTGTGGCAGCGGCACTGGTTCCGGGCTCCCCGGTGCCACCGCCCCCCTCGTTGTCACCGGACTCGCTGCCGCTTTCCGTAAAATCGGCGAACTTCATGGCCGACGCGGGCAGTGTGAGTGTGCCGCCGGTGGCACCTGCTTCCACGATCACCGAGGCGCCCACATCTTCCCCAAAGGAGGATGCTGCGGCATCTGCATCTGGCGGCACCTCCTCCGCCATCCTCGCCGTTGTCGTCTGAAGAGGGCTGCGAAACAACACGAAATTGGGGACCGGAAAATGGGCGAGAGAGCTGCTGCTCGCAATCGGAGTTTTTGTGTCTACTCTGGCCTCCTCTTCCTCTCCGCTCTCGGCTCACCCTCGCCCCTCACACCAACAACACCTCTCCAATCGGACTCTCTCGCTCGCTCTCACTGGCACGCTACTCTATCATCTGGTTTGCAATTCGCCTCATGCGTCGTTTTCCAGGCTCCTTTTAGGGGCCAGCGGCCACTGCAGCCGTTGTCTCTCCCAGTCAGGACGATAGCCGGATCCTTGGAGCGAGTCTCTGCACTATTTTCAATCCGGAATTTGCACAAAAACCTAGAGATATCCACGGCTGAAAAACTTACACTTTTTTAGTGATACGTAGGACCGTTTGTCGCTGGCTGCGAAATACTCAAAACGACGCCAAGCGGATTAGCGATATTTTTGGAAAGTTCTTCACGAGATACAAAAAATATAAAAATTAATTAATTTACCAGTGTTTTTTTTCTTGCAAAGCTTTAAGAATAACTTCTCCCTACAAGCGTAAGTTAATGTACTATTTTTATTCCTCCCTTTTTCTTCTACTTGAAATTAAAAGAATGGTTACGATGATTCCATTTTGCTCCGACGAATTGTATATACAAAAATTTGAGAATTTGTGTCGGGTAGATATTGTAGATTATAGTATTTAATTATCCAAGTGTAGAAGTAACTCAAGTAAGATATATATATATTTTTGATTATTTAGGAGGTGGAAAAGTTAAAATATTTATATTTTACGAGAGATAAAAAAATAAAATAAAAAAAAATATTATTAATTTTGTTTATTTTCCAGTGATTTTTCCTTGCAAAGTTTTAAGTATATCTTCTCCCTACAAGCATAAGTTAATGAACTATTTTTATTCTTTACTTTTTCTCTATGTAAAATTAAAAGAATGGTTAACGATGATTCCATTTTGCTCTGAAGAATTGTATATACAAATATTTGAGAATTTGTATCGGAAGATATTGTAAATTATAGTATTTAATTATTCAAGTGTAGTGTAAGTAAAGTTTGATATAAATACGTTTGATTATTTAGGAGGTGGAAAATTTTAAATATTTATATAACAAAATTTTATAATAGAAAATTAAATAAAACGGCAAAGTAAAAAATGTAAGATTATAAATCGGGTAAACATAAAAGGTAAATACATATGACTTTTCTATTATAGGAGCTCAGTTTTTTTAAAAGATAACATATGAATGTTTAGGTAAAAATATCGCAAAATAAAATTGATGAATTAAATTAAAATTAAAAAACACTGTACGATCTTTGAATTAGTTACAATGAATTGTGAAATATTATATATAACGAAACCCCAGAACTTTCTAATGTTTACAATTTGTAAAAGGATTGAAATATATAGTTTTGGTATTTGAAGAGAAAACTAGTACGGTATCACTAATCTATCGATAATATTGCCTTGTTTTTGTGGCGTCGATTTCAATTCGCGTTTCATTATTATTTGAAAATATCATTTAAAATGAATCGCCGCAACAAGCGCACATCCTCTAGCCAGTACAAATACTTCCTGGATACAATGGAGGCGAATCCCCGCCTAGCGGCCAACACAATGAGTCGAGCGAACTACACCAAGAAGTGGAAAGAGATGGGCGTCGAGCTGAACAAGTGCCAACTGGGTCCCAAATTGTCGGCCGAAGAATGGCGAAAAGTGAGTGCTGTGCAGTATTTAGAGTTCCTACCAACTAATCCTAGCAATCTACGTCAGCGTCTGAATGACTGGAAGAACTCCACGCGCTCCAAGTATCGGCGTTGCGTCGTGACAGGTGACAGGGGCTCCATGAGCGCACTGGAAAACCGTTGTATGCGTATTTTTTTTGTTGGGGATACAACTTCACGTGAGCCTGCCGCGTACGATGAGTTTTCGGATTATGACGAGGAGGAACAAGAAGAGGAGTTCCTCGACGATGAGCATCATGCACAGTACCAGGAGCCGGAGGCATCAGAGGGACATCCAGCCGTCGTCCTTATCAATGGAGTAGATCAGAGTTCTGCACAAAGAATTCGTCTTCAAAACCCCCAATCAGTAATCTATGAAGGTTGGTTTGCTAGCTGAAAATGCGCGATATCAACTCTATATTATTGTGTATAATTTCAGTTGAGCATCTACTGCCGAACACTACCTCTGAGAAGGAGGAACCAGTTACGTCCTTCGCCAAGGAAATCCAAGTTCAGATAAATCGCTTGTCAAAAATCCAAGAAGCCTCTCTGGACTTCAAGATTGCCCGCTTCAAGTACAAAAATCCAGGATTCGAATACAATTTGCATATTTAGTATAAGACACTTAAATATTAAAACGTGTTAATTTTTAATGTGTAAGCATTATAATTGTGACCTGTTAATTCTGTTAAGAATTGGCCAAGAAATGGAGCCACTCGTTAGTAAAGTAAAGTACTATGTACAGGTTGACCAAAACTCTATTGCAAAATAAACAATCACTATTTTTATACGAATTGGTTTTAGAACTCTTTTGAATGGGATGGTTTAAAAAAAAATAATATTAATATCGATTTTTATATGTATTTACGGGTTTAATAAAGATAAAAAATGTTTTTTGTTAGCAGCGACAGATATCTAATAAGAATTTACTATTTTCTTCAATGGTCGAGGCAATGCCGATATTTAATGAACATCGAAATACAATAATGAATTATTAATATAAAGATAAAGTATAAATAAAATCATATTCGTGTTTATATTTGTAATTTTAATTAACAAAGAATTAAAATACCTTTTAAATATATGACGACATCTACATAAATGTGAATATGGTTTCACTTCTTTTGACTCTAGCATAAAAATACGCAGCATTATATTATATTATATGGATTCAAGACTACAATTAAAAATGCTGATATTTGTATTAAAAATATTATTCATATCAATAATATTCAGGTTTGAATTAGAAAAAGAATAAAATTAATTTAGCTAGAAATATCGCAAAGCCTCGACAACTATCGCATGCCTGTAGCTGGCCATCACTGACGCAGGGCATGCAGCCCTGCTTTGCTGGATTTTTTTTACATGCTGCGAAAATCCCCTAACGCCTACTATTGTTTGTGAACACTTCGCATCGTTTTGGTGGCGTCAATTTAGCATTTCAAGACCTCTTTGGCCCAACGTTTTTGGTTTCAGGAAATAACAAGAAGATCAAAGCCGAGAGCACAGTGGTCAGTGCATGGAGAGCAAGATGGATCGCCGCAAGAAGCGCACGTCCTCGGACCAGTATCAGATGTACATCGATATGATGGAGAGCGACCCAATTTTTGCCACCGGGCGAGTGCCGCGCGATTACGACCTGAATTATCTCACAAAGAAGTGGAAGGAGCTCTCCGACAGGCTAAACAAGTGCGGCTCAGGGCCCACACTCACGCCGGAGGAGTGGCGCAAGGTGAGCAGTTCCCCGAGCAGCCCCTCTCTTTTCCTACTCTAATCCCCCTCAATCTTCGATTTAGCGCCTAAATGACTGGAAGAACACCACGCGCTGCAAGTACAGACGCAGCCTGCTCTCCACCGAGAAGGATATATCAATGACCTCGCTGGAATCCCGAGCTTTGGATCTCTTTGGCAAAGTGCCCACCGTCACTGGCGAGACGGTGATGAATTTAAAGTCGGAAAAAGACGATCACGATGACGATCTAGAGGAGATGGGTCAGCGAACATCGGCGGCTTTCCAAAAGGAATTGCAAGCAGCCGTTGAGGAGGCCATCAACGAGGAGGTGGAGGACGAGGAGATGCTTGAAGAGCACGTCGACCAGGAGGATATGCTCGATGAGAGTCTGGCGGACAACGGAGGTGGCGGCGGAGGCGGCATTGATGGCTCTGCCGCGGCCACCACGGCAGTAAATACGGGCGGCGGAACCTATCGCACCATTGTCGTGGACAACACATCCTTCGAGCAGGTGGATGAGGAGCCTCAGGCCATGCAACCGCATCCGGTGGAGTTTGTTACATCCAGGCGGTCGGCGGCAGCGGTTATCAGTCCTGGTACCGGCAATAAACTAATCAATGGCGAAATGCCCGTCAAAAGAATGAGGACACAGGCCCGAAATCAGATTATCTATGAAGGTAAAGGGCTCTTGTATCTTTTAAGCAGTAAAACTTATTCTAAACTACCTTGTTTTTGCTTACTAAATCCAGTTAAAAACGCTCCGCGCTGTGTTACCAACATGCAAGCAGTGCCGCCGCTGCACACTACCAAGGTGGAGAGGGAACCCAGCGCCCAGCTGAGCACTGCCTTGAGCAGCAACGATGCCCAGCAAATTGCCCATCAGCTAAAGCGGCTGGCCGACATTAACTATGAAACCCTGCAGTTTGAGATAGCGCGCTTCAAGTTTAACAATCCTGGCTTCCAGTACAATCCGCCGTCCTTATAGTGCACCATCGGTAGCAGGTCTCAGCTCCACAACCGGCAGAAGCAGGAGCAGCATCAGCAGCAGCAGCAGTAGCAGTAGCACAAGGATCAGTTTTAGCAATTAGTGAAAGAAACCGAAGGGAACGAGTCAAGTCAACTCGAATTGTATAAATCTGTCGTCGCCTGAGGACAGAAATCATAACTTATAATATTAGCCAGTTTTAGTTTAAAATTAATTTAAATTTGTATTCATTTCTCTTTTGCAAGAAACACACCACTTTTATTCTATCGTAATATCCCATAATGTCTAAGCTCTAAATGTGTAATAATACCCAAAACAAAAGTCAACTCAAATTGGACAAGTAATTTTAAACGCGCGTTGTATGTAAATGTAAAGAATAAAGTTTACCAATGATAAATATGTGCGGTGGTGCCATGGTTTGCTCCACCTTTTGCCTGTTTGTTGCATTTTTAGGCTTTATTTATGACGCCGGCCAGGAATCGAAGCCAACACGAAAAGTCCATTAATCAAAAAAGCCTGAGAGATGGCGTCGACAACGCATATATGCATTGTGTCGGAGCTGGAGCTGGAGCTACGAGCTCTGGGATTCTGTTTTGGTTCTGCTTTGGCTTTGAGCTTGGGCTTGGGTTTTGGTTTGGGTTTGGGTTTGGGTTTGGGTCATTTAACCTGACCGCCAACTAGTGGGCGCACTTTGTAACTGTCAGGAGGGCCCCAGAGGCGGCTCTGGCTCTGCTTCGATGCGAAAGAAATCACTTGTAGCTGTTATGGTGTGCCCGATGCTGATGCAACAAGTGCCGATCCAAGTCCTCCGCTGCTCCTCCTCCTCCACCTTCTACTCCTTCTCATCCCTGGATGGTATAACTGCAATGGGCAATAGATCATTTGCAGGCCGTGCGCTGCGAATCATAAATTACCAAAGACGACGACGCGATGGCGACGAGGTTGCCGCCGAGGTTCAGACCTCCGCCATGGGACGACGCATGGCGTTCCGTTAGGAATCATTGCCATCTCGATGATAACTGCACAACACGTCGTATACTTAATCTGTTCTTTTCTGAGAGGATGCACTGCGAGCATTTGTAGGTGTTTGCATATTTTTCTTAAATGTGAAGTTTTCAAAGCATAACTAAACTAATTTTAAATTTAGTAATTAATGCTAAAATAATAGTTTTTGAAAATTGTAATTCAAAACATAAAAAACTCATAACTAAGCCAAAAATTAATTCATTTTGAATCAGAAAGCAGCCCTGTGTTAGTTTTTATAATACTAATAAATCTGCTTACATAAATTAAAATGTAAAAAAATTAAAATTTTGTTGCCAATTTTTGATAATTTTTACGATGTAAAAATGTTGAAAAAATTGATTAAATTTTTTTCCCCTTAAAACATGGCTAGATCGACTTGCCTGTTGATGCTGATCAAGAATATATATGATTTATAGGGTCGTAAATGACTCCTTCACTGGATTCGAAGCTTCTGACCTAAATTATAATACCAATTTTTGATTCGATATTTATCTCTATTTGTTCTACAAATCAAAGTTTAAAAAACTCATAACTAAGCCAAAAATTAATTAATTTTAATTTCGAAAGCAGTCCTATGTTAGTTTTTGTTCAAGGAATAAATCTGCATTAAATATATTAAATTTTTAATTTTTGTCAATTTTTTAAAATGTTAACAATGTACATTTGAATAGAATTTTTTGAAAAAAAATAAAAAATTGGTTTTTTCTCCCGGAGATGGCTAGATCGATTCGGCTGTTGATGATGATCAAGAATATATATGATTTATGGGGTCGGAAATGACTTCTTCACATCGTTAGTGACAAAAATTATGATACCCTGCAAGGATATTAAAATTTTAATTAATTTTATATTTTTGTATTGTTCTTAATTTTATAATAAATAAAATAGATTCACAGTCATATTTCTGCCAGTACTTTTCGTTCCGCTTTTCCGCCTCCTCTTGGTGTGGGTGCCGCTCGCTCTTTGATGAAAAGCCTGCTGGCAAAGCTGATTAACCTACACACACACACACACACACACACTCACTCACCCGATGCGAGTATGTTCCGGGGAAATGAGTGTCTGGAGCCCAGATGTCTTCTTCTCACGTGGCGACTCCATCCTGGCCCTGAGTGGTTCCACAGAGTGCATGGCCAGTCCATTAAACAGTTCGTGTTGCACTCGTTTCGCGATGGGTCTGGGTCTGGATCTCTTGGGGATTGGGTTTTCGTTCTGGGATTGAGTTTGGGTCTTGGGCCAGGACACACACACATGATGATACACACAGCGTGCAGATTGACCTCATGCTATACAAATTATATATATTTTTATTACAATTTTATAAAAATAAATTACCTAGAAAAATCTATAACAAAACTATGAAAGGGGTTGCAGCAAGCCTCTGCTTCTGTTTGTATTTTGATGGATATTTGAAATGACCAATTCGAAAAGGAAAGAAACCTAATCCAAAATCCCACCAGGCGAGCCTTCACCTGTCACTCTAACTCATTCCAAAATCGTTTACCAGTCGAGACCATATATTTTTTCTGAATAAAGTGGGGTCTGTATATATATTTTTCCGAAACGAAAGAAAACATTGTCTAATATTTACGAACCTAGAAATAGGTTATAGAATCAGAATGCATCGAATCGAAATTTCGGTGGATTCGGAGGAAAGGCAACGCATCGATTTTGTTATATCGAAGAATATGCCGCTCTTCAAGGTGATGCAAGCTTACGCGGATTACTATCAGATCAACCGTGATACCCTGGCATTCCGCTTACGTGGCCTCAAGATTGGGGATACCGATACTGCTCGTCTTCTAAATATGCGTGCCAGGGATATTATCAAAGTTGAGACAGTTACAGAAGGAGAATAGATCAAACCAATTATCATGATAACTATTATAAGAGGTCAACAGAGAAGACTTATCAAGCTCGAAATGAACAGGAAGTTACACATTTCTTTCTCATATGGACAATGCTTAGAGTATGCTTTTTATAACTTTTACTAGAACTAAGTTCTAATGAAATATTTTACAGGTGCCTCTAATTCAAGTAGATGAGTTCCTGCTCAAGAAAAAGTGCATATTTCAATTCCAGAAAACATTATTCATTTACATATATAATATACATTTACAGAATACAAAATCGTGCAAGAAAAACCCCGCAAACTTCTGCTATTTAATCGGTGACAATTTTTTCCCGCATTATTCTATCAAAGTTTTTATTAAAGATTAAGGTTAAAGGTCCGAGTGTGGTATTAATTTAAGGCCAAGACCATGGTCAAGGCACACACACATCTGTGTATGCTGGGAAACGCCGTCAAACTGGTCACATCCAACTTGCAACCTTTCAACCATTATTCCGGCGCAAAAGTGCAAAGCGTTTTTATGCTGGCGATTATTACGCTTGATCCTGAAGCACCAAAGGGTCAATTGATGTTTGTGATGACGCTGAATTGTGCTGTTGCTGTTGCTGTTGCTACGTCGCAACGTCGCAACGTCGTACCCACAGCAACATCAGCGAGCAACATGCAACAACATTGTGGTCGCTTGCCCGCAATTTGCCTTGGAATGTTAAGCATAGACGAATATTCGCCATTTCTATTATGGCCATTTCCGCAGACTTAAAAAAAAAAAGGTATACGTATACGATTTCAGGAGATATTATGTATAATAATTTTTAATGCAAAATATTCATATATGGAGGCCTTAAACCGAATTGATTTCTTATAGAAATTCTAGACTTTATTTTATTATTTAAATAGAATTATAGAATTATCCCAACCATTTGTGGAACTGACCTTATTTCATTTTTTGGCTGTTGCATTTCTTGGCTGGCAGCGATAAAGCGTCAGCAGCAATATTCCTTTTGTGCTTCGGCCAGTTTTTGATATATCACTAAGCCAAGATAATGCCCTCTAGCTAAATCGGGCCATCATCAAAAGCCGGCTTTTGATATAGAAATTATTTATAGGCGAACGATGATGATGACGACGCTGGTCGCCTGGTCACTCAGCAATCGTAAATCTAAAGATCCTTTTCTTAAAAGCTTAATTCCGAGCAATTATTGTGGGCCAGCTGGGGATGGGATCGCGCTCTTCCTCATATCAAATTTGATGGCCGAGTGGCTGGCTCCTAGCTGCTCCTACCACTGCTGCTGCTGCTGTGTCCAGCGTGTAATTATATTAGCATGATCTATGCCATTACGGCGCACACACATCGATATGCGGCAATTAGTGCTGCGGCCGAACAACAAGTACGACTATCGGCACAAACAATATAGCCAGCGGGCGTTTATGGCCAACGACATGGCCATTATTGACGCCACTCGATGGACTCTATGGACGTTGGCCGTCATCGATTGCTGCGGCGGCGGCGTAGGCTCCATGTTGCCGCTGCAGCAAGCTGCGATGTTGCTGCTGTCGCCGCCGTTGCAGCAGCATGCAAATTGTCGGCTTACTAAGCGGTTACCAAAGTTTAAACCTGAACTTCAGTGTTGCCCGAAAGAACCTATTTCGAAAGCAGGTCAGGCGGAAAAATAGCTTAGCATATTTGGAAATAAGGTATGTCAAGAAAGTAATTATTTAAATCAGAATTTATGCCTTGTAGAATGTTTTAGTGTTACTTTTTAATTTAGTTCTCTTGATACCTTAAGATACCTCAATATAATATTTCTAGAAATCATTTTTTTTAGTCCTGGGTCGATCATCACTATTTCGGGATATAATGGGAGCAGGGAAAAATGTCCAAACTAAGCTGGAAAAAATACTGAGCGCTGAAATGGGCGCCCTCTCAGCCGAAAGTCATAAACACGCACTAATTGCAGGCCATGATTTGTTGGAGCAACAACAGCAGGAGCAACATTAGCAGCAACATCTACCCCTACGAGGAGAGCCATCAACTCAAATCGAAGCCTAATTGCCACTAAATGCCAGTTTTCGTTGGCGACATCAAACGTAAAGCTTTCAGCGTCAAAATGGGGGGAAAAAAAAGTAAAACGCTCTGGCCATGACTGGCTCTCTGATTTATAAACAAAATTTAACAGCCAAACACTGGGAGTTAGGGCATTAAAAATTATGTAGTTGCTGCTCCTGGTGATGTTGCTGCTGCTGCTGCATGCTGCATGCTGCCTGCTGCATGTTGCCTCCTGCCCTGCAATTAGGCGCCACTCCTGGCGGGGTGGTCCATGTGTCCATGTCGCCAGTGTGGCGATCGATCCAACGTTCGATATACAAATCGATTGCTTGATCTCTCACTTGCAGCAGCAGCAGCAACTCCAACTGCCAAGGAGCTGCAGCTCGCGTGGTCAGCGCCAATTACTTAGAGCATATCAATTATATTACGGCCAATACATTGTAAAATAAATGCCCAGAATGATAGCCAGTTGCAGTTGCTGCTGTTTGTAATTGAACTGCGCGTATTGCGAAATTATTATTTTGTGCATTTGCAATTGCAAGTGGATGCATCAGCAGCAGCAGCAGCAGCAGCATACAGAACCACTCAACCTTCCATCCTGCGTGTCTGTTCATATGTTTTCATTACTTTTGCCCATTATGCGTGTACGTGACGCACAATTTCAAATTGCCAGAGTCTGCGTTTTAGCCAGGAATCGGTACTAAGAGCCAAGGGGGCTAAAAGCAGAGGGCCCTGGTCTCAGGTCTCAGGTCTCATAAGCCGGATACCCGGCGTCCAAATGCGCACAATTCCAGCATTGACTTGCAACTCATTGCTCCTGCTCTGCCTTTTGAGTGGGGTTTCAATCAGAGATGACAGGAGATTTGTTAAGTAAATTAAATAAATTTCTATGATACCAACACAAAAAAATTGTCTTATTAATAATAGAGTAACAGTCCAGACAATTGCTATACTTAATTACTTGTTTGTTTTGCAAAATATACATTACAATTTTTATAGTACTTTGTCAAGCTGTTACTTGTTTGTTTTTTGTAATATTTTTAATACTTAGCAACTGATATTTTAGAAAATAAATAAATTCATCCTCCAAATGAGGACAGCTCTGACACCATCCATGGTTCGTCGTCTGTTTGTAGCTTTTGTTTGCTGTTCAAGTTTACAATTTTAATGCACTGCCACTTGACTGTTGACAGTGGTGCGTTGCTGCTGTTGCTGTTGCTGCTGTTGCTGTTGCTGTTGCCAATGTTGTGCTGCTGTGTGTTGTGTGTGTTGTTGTGTTATTGATTTTATGCTGTGTACGTGAACGAAACCTTGCCGGTAGTTGCTGGTGTTTGCCGCTGAGCTGCTGCTGCTGCTACATTTAGTTCTCATTTCGCACATGCCCCCAAAAATGAAAAGCATGTTTATGTTTCCTTCTTTCTGAGGAAGCCATCATCACATGCTGATTCATAAAGTGGAGAGCAGCGCTTTAAAGCCGCTTATAAACCAAGGTTATGCAAATATCTAGAACGAAACCTATTGACTGAGAAGGAGAAATATTTCTCAAAAAATATACCTTAAACGATATGGTACTCCAGAAATTCAAAATAGCAAGCCTAACTATGTAAACCCCATGTAGTCAACACCTATAACCCACCTAGATCTAGGTGACCCAAAACCCCATTAGAGGGCACTTCAACTCGCTCCCCATAAAGGGCATCCTCTGCAATGGATGGATTTCTTGGCTGACATCGTTAGGGCGCTGCAATTGCTACAATTGCTGAATATGATTGAAGTACTTCGAAGGTAACGAGGCAGCAGCCGTGGACATGGCCTCCATATCAAACTGGCATCAAACAATTTCAAATGGATCGAATGAGAAATCGACAGAGCCTGGCCAATTGCTGTTGCAAGTTGCAAGTTGCAGCCGATGTTGCTGCTTTGTATGCATGCAATGAACATGATCGGCGCAATTTCAGCAACTGGAGAACAAAGTGGCCAAGACTGGTGAGGATCGGAGGTGATCTTACACTGTTACGAGAGTTTACAGCATAAAAATTGGTTCAATTCAGGATTTATTGGATTTATAAAAGTATATCCTTGCAGGGCATTAGAATTTTAGTCAGAAGCTAGTAACACTGTGAAGGAGTCGTTTCCGACCCCATAAATCATATATATTCTTGATCAGCATCAACAGGCGAATCGTTCTAAGCATTAAAAAAAGAACAACAATTCTTGCAAATTTTTAAAAAATTTGATATATATATTTTTTACATTGTTAAAATGGTCAAAAATGTTAATTTTTTTACATTTGAATTTGGGTGTGCAGATTTATTAGCCTAACGAAAACTAACATAGGTTTGTATTGCGAATTAAAATTAATGATTTTTTAAAGTAGTTATGAGGTTTTTAAGTGATTAAAATGTATTATTTTTAATAGTTTCAAAGCTAAAGATTTGGGTGTACCAAAAGGCTTCAAAAACTCTAAGCGAGACGCATAAAAGTATGCTATGCCATTTTGTTAAGCTCAAAAATCAACGTAAATTGTTTTTTTGTGAAGTATGTCTCTGATTTCCTTTTAAAAACATCAAAATTGTTATATTTAAAGTACAATTTTTAATCCAAGTGTATCTGGGATCGGTGATCGGAGCGACAATGTTGCCGACGCACAGGAGCAACGTCAACGACGTGGCTGCAATGTTGCTGCCACTTTTCACCGGGTCCCAGTCCCGATGATTGAAATTCTAAGACCTCAGACTGAATACTGAATCCGAAACTGACTCGGAGTCGGAGACCAAGTCCAAAGTCGTTTGACGCTGACCTTTTCGCATGAGAATCATCGATGATGGATGCACTGCCAGCTGGGAAAACGGGGAAAAGCATCGGAAAAGCTGCGGATGCGGAGTGCGATGTCAGACGGAGCTGTCAGTACGTGCAGCTCGTCATGGGCAAATGAAGTGCAAGGAAAGTTGGCTTGGAAGGTGATTTTTGGTGATGTTGGGCATTCCGCATATCTATTACTTCCAAGACGAAATAAAAAATAAGATAATATAATATTAAATTTACATTCTTTTCTAATTTCGCCATAAGAGTTACGCATAGTTTAGTATCAGTACAGTATTACTCTAAGAATAAGCATATAAACAGTGCCCACTGTACGCACCACGCGACGGATAATTGCGCTCACCCATCGAGGAGGTAAAAAATCTGAGAACAGCAGAGAAAAGTCAAGAATAGCCAACTTCTTTTGAGTCGTCAATGTTGTCGTTGTTGTCGTTCCATTCCATCGTGGAATTTCACAGCGAGGCATGGAAATTTGTTCGATGGCTTGTCTTTCTGCCTCGCTGCTCCTCTCGTCTCTCCCTCTTTCCGGCTTGTTTGTTTGATTTGGATTTGATTTGATTTCCAGCCAGAGCAGTTCTACCTTTTACTCCTGCATTCTTCACTCTCTCCAGCCGCCCGCCTCTCTGGCACCCACCTACTGTACCTATTCAAAAGCTCACTCACAGTTTCTTGACCTCTCTCTCTCTCTCTCTCTAGGTAGTCGTGTGACGCAGTCGCAGTGCAGTTGTAACTGCACATGTGCGCGTCTGTTCCTCTGCCCATCTCCTGCACCCCGCCCCGCCCCGTCCCTTGCCCACCGCCCCCAATTGCCCGTTTGGCAATTTTGCAGCTTCGGCAGCGTCCCCATCCCCCCTGGCCGTTGTTGCTATTGCGGAAAATGCGATTGACGGTAATTGGTTGACGTTTGTCTTATTTAAATTTGTTTTCTTTGGGATTTTTTCAACGTCGCTGCTTCTGCTGCTGATTCTTCTGTTAAAACTACTCCCGGCTGATTCTTGTACGGTCCCATGTTTTGATACCCTGTAGTGGGAGGTATAGGTACTTGAAGACACAGGGGATCGTGGACTTTCTGTGGGCTGGTTGCTAATAATAAATGTTTAAAATATATTTAACACTTCCGTCTTTAAATAAAAAATATTTATACATTATGTACCATAAAGATGTATACAAATAACAAATTATGTTATCGAATTAAAATAATATATAAAGCTTTACAAGAGAAAGCACAGCAGTGCTTTGACTACAGAGCATCAGCAATCCGTGTCGATTGCACCACTTCCAGATCCATTTCTCGTTTCCTCTATGTACTTTTCTCAAGCTCTTCCAACTGCTCTCTCAGCACCGTTCGTGGTGGTTTGTGGATCGCGGCGTGCAACTTTAATTGAAATGAAATGAGTTTCGTCGATTTGTGTTCTAGGAATTTGTTTTTTGATTGTTTTCTTGTAAATTTGAATGATTATCGAGCCAGTTGCAGTAGTTGCAGCAGCAGTTGCGCAATTGCTGCGGCAAAGAGAAGAAGGAAACAAAATAAACAAGCCGACGAGCGGAGCGTAATTGCAGATCACATGGAGCAGAGACCCTAGCTCGTGTGTCTGTGTGTGAGTGTGTTAGTGTGTATGGGAAGGGAAGTTTGCGTTTTTCAGCTCCACCTCCTCTTTTCTTCCCATCTTTCCATCCTGCACTCGCTGTGATCAATAGCCGGGACGTTCGATAATTGAGCTGCGAGAACTTTTAATTGTGTGTTTGTGTCGCGGAAGTGTTTTCGAACTGGGCCAGAACTTCACAAAGTAAAAGCCAATTTGTTACCGCTATATCGTCCGCGTATCGTTTGCATCGCGATAAAGTCGCTGCCGCGCTAAACGCAGTCACTTCCTCGAGTAAATAAACGAATAACGCAGTGAGAAAATAACGGAGGTAAGTACTAAATATTTTCTTACACTTATTTGCGATAAATATCATATTACGCTTGATTAAGAAATGTATATCTTACTAGCTTATTTAATTACTAATATGCATCTAATATAATTTATTTAAAATGATTTTCTCTCTGTGCATTGGCCAACGAACCGCGGGAAACCGAAGGAATAGTCCGAGATTGAAACCGAAACTGATGCGTAGTTTAGGGCGATTTACACACAGTTTAAACAGACATCCCAGATACAAATCTCAGGTTTTCCCAAGGGGGTGGCATGGCGGCGGGAGGAGGGAGGGGCAGGAGCAACAGGCTGAAGGCAGAGCAGCTGCAGGACCAGTCTTCCTGGTGCCATAACTGTAGCAAATGGTCCGCCAACATGCAGGTTCCCCGGCCTGAGTCTCGAATCTCTGTTCTTGGACTCTTAACCCGCACCTTAACCTTAACCTTATATAACTGCATAAGGGATTTATACTATAATCTTTTTAAGTATATTTATATTGATTAAGGGGGTTTCTGTTTACAGATTTATAATAACAATTAAGGATTAGTTATCTTGTGACTATTTTCTTGCCAATTCAAGTATATTTTAGGGGAAAATATGTACTTCTTAGCTCTACAAAATTTTATTTTAAAGAAATGCTGATTTGATTCTCTTAGTTTTAGTATTTAAATTGAAAACTATTTATTATTTCCCAGCTTATAAGGCAGGAATCTCGAAGATCATTTTCTGGCACTCAGAGGGTTAAGACGACACTAAACTTGCGCCTTGAGAGCTCCTAAGATCTTCGGCGTGGGCGTCTGTTGTGGTTATAAATTGCACATTTGATGAGCAGAGAAACGTTTATGGTTCTCCCCGATCTTCAGACTCTTCCCCATTCTTTCCGTTCCGCAGAATCCCCTCTGCGGCGGAATCTCTCCGCCTCTGCCTTTTAGCGCTTGCATGCGGCTGATTAATTGTGCCAACGTCATAAACGTGATGATATCGCAATACAAGCGCAATTTTTCATGTTATTCAATTCGTTGCCCCCAGCTCCCAGCTACGAAGCAATGAAGCTCCAAAGCTCCAGTTCCTGCCACAGCTGCAACTATAGTTTATACACAGAACCAAATATATCTGCTTAAACATGATTTTGAAATCTATTAGATAGTTAAAACTACCTTACTATTAATTTATATTTGGAAACAACGAAAGATTTCGTATGTTTTTAATCATTTTCGTTAAAGAATGTTCTTTAGTCTGTATGGAATGGAAGAAAGTATAATTTAATTAAATTCTTATTTACCAAAAACTTCATAATATTGATCCCATTAAATTATTTTCCGAATAATTAAGCATTTCTCTCAGTGTACCGTTTGCTATACAATGTATTTGCATAGCGCTTTTTATGTGGCATTACGAAAGACTTAAGCGGCGAACTCGCGTGGCAGCAGTTTCGATATTGCAACTAATTACCAGCATTAACGCAATTTCGTCTTCATAAAGACTCGGTTCCGCATTGCTCCCCCACTCGTCCCCCCTCTCGACACCCCTTTTCAATTCCCCGCTATTTGAGATTTAATTTGATTCTTTGCCCAAACGCGGACAGGTGTCTATGAGGCTATATGGCAGGTGTTTCGGCTCATTGTCTGCCGGCCAGGAAGCATTTGGCATGCGTTCATTTTGTTTAAACTGATTTTTCCTTTTTGTGAGTGTGTTTGGAGAAAAACTGCGCAATTTTCATTGATTTTGGTCAGAGCTGGGTTGGGTTGTGCTGCTTGTTGCTATTGTGTTATAGGCGCCTTTTACGGGTTAGTATTGCAGTGTATTTCAGACATGTGAGATCACATTTAATATAATGGGGGATCCGTGTGAGGAATATTTAATGATAATAATTGATTTTGCTTTATATTCTATAGCACGTTTTAGATTTTTATTAAATACATTTTGGGAGTTCTTCAGACATTTTTGGGATCTTCTATAACCCTACACATAAACATCAAACCGTACTATGTGTATTTAAGAATTAAACCTTTTCAATCGCATATTTCGCACATTCAAAAAATGGGATAATAACCCAGGCTCAGGTTTTAAACTTGTAAAGAATAGGTATTTCCAGTTCCCCAGCGATTCTCTTACTTTTCACCTGTACAGCGTTCACCTGGCCGTCTTTTATGGCCAGGTCAGGTAATTATTGAGTCAATTTCCAGGCCGTTAAGCTTTCATTGGATAGTTTTGCTGACGGCGCCGCCCACACGCCAAAGAAATGGAATGCAAAGTCCACAACAAGACAACTTTCAACGGTTCGAGATTGTTTTTTGCATATACATTTATTTTTCTGAGACATTTATTTAGACACAAATACAAGTTATATTATAGTTGTATGTATATATAATGTAAGTTAATTATATACTCTCTATTTATAGGCCATATAAGCTGGGTAATACAACTAAAATGTACATACTAAACGACTAAGAAAATGCGATTGCGAGCTGGGAATTGGTTCGTCAGGGGGATTTCGCGGGGGTTTTCGAGGGTAGGGGGCTCTGAGCAAATTAATTACTAATCAAGAGCTGTTCGATTATCAACACAGATTTGCACAACATTTAAATTATGAGGAGGAAATTCATTGCATTAATTTATAAATTCATTTTAGCTAGATTTATTTGCTTGTGTTGCTTTTGTTTTGCATAACATTGTCTAAATGATTGATATATGGTTGATTGATAATACATATACTTGTATATTGCTTACTATTAGTTACTCTTTTTATCATTTATAAGCTAAGTATCTCGTTTACAGACAACTAATTCTTCTTATGGAATTTAAGAGTTCGCTTTTCTTTTGTGAAATTTGACTGAATAGCTTTAAATGGCTTTTCATTTAATTATAGAATGTATGCTTTTGCAGTAATAATTAAATTAAACATTAAATTAAAATCACAATTTTATAGACTTGATGTGTTGTGTGAGTGTGTGTGTGTGTGTGTGTATGGGGTGTATTGTTTGTTGTGTAAGCAAAAACAATATCGGGAATAGGATGAGTAACGGCGTTACTCATCTAATCCTTTATTTTATCCTTGCTCTAGCTGCGTGTGTGTGTGTGTGTGTGTGTGCTGGCAGCATTTATTTTTTCTTTTGGGGATCCATCCATTAAAAATATTCTCTTTAAATATTTTTATTTTTGTCATCCTTCTTCGATCTCTCGATAATCTCTCTCTATAATTCCGGGCATAGCAGGGAAAGGCACAATTCAATGTTAATTAAAATTGCTGCTGCAAGCTAAATGGTGAAAGCTGCAAAGAGAAATAATAAAAACAGAGACGAAGAACTCTATTAGTTTTTTGTTTTTTGTTTTTTTTTTTTGCTTAGTCTGCACGAATTTAATAAGCGGAAAAACAATCAAAACGCAGCACGATTTGCATGGCCATTCAACTCCCACTCCAACTCACCTGCAGGAACACACACAGCGTGCCGGATATTTAAGTTGATCTTCTTTTTCTTTATTTGTGGCTTATTTTGTTTCAGTTTTCCTCTGGTACTCTGTTGTCTCTCTGTCTGTTTGTTGTATTTGTTGTTGTGTAGTTGTTGTTGTTGTTGTGGGGGTCGATGGCAGCTAGAAACGAGTTGGCAACTCATCCTCATTATCCTCTTCCTCCTCCGTCATCGTCATCGTCATCGTCGTCATCATGATCATCATGGTGCCACTTGCTCGTCCTGAAGTCAAATCCACATCCATCCTACAGATACAGCGTCGCCTGCTGCCGCTGGTCAAAGTGATGGATGTAGAGCTTCTTCTTCGACTTCTCCTTCGACGGCCGCAGGTCCCACACCAGGTTGGAGAGACTCCTCGGCCGGGACAGGCGGCGGGTCTTCTTCTCGGGCAGCTTGTTCGAGTCCCCGGATGTCCGTCCGCCGCTGCGGGATGAGTCCAGGGTGCCCTCTCGCGGATTGTGATGATTGTTGCTACTGGAACTCCGGCTGTGGGGCAGGGGCAGGGGCAGGGGCAATGGGTGCGGCGTCGACAGGTAGCCGTGGACATTAAGAATGCTACCGCACTTGAGCACCACATCGGGTGGTGTGCCCGGCGTGGCAGGGGTTCCATTGGCTCCGCCTCCTGGTCCTGCACCCGATCCAACTCCTGCTCCTGCTCCAGATGACTTGCCGTGGGCTGAGATCGTTGGCGGCGTCACGGAGGAGCAATTGTTGTTGTCCGGCGTCAGCTGCAGGCTGCTGAGACTCTTGTACCTGATGAAATTAAAAAAAACCAAAAGGTTTATATATTGAAAATGGTACAGAAACTAGTTAAATATTCCTTCGGCTTTCAAGCCTACAACCTATTTCATTCTTAAATAAATCTATTTCTCTAAACTCTTTAAAAGCAAACTCCTTAATAGGTATTTTGAATTTCTATTTGATAAATTCTTAAACTCTGAAAAAGAAATGTAAACTAGAAAGCTCATGTTTGTTTTAAAAAGCAACGGCTTCTTAAGAGGCATATCTATATAAGCTTAAAATATAAATCTTATATAAATATGCATATGGCCAAATTGTGCAAAAAAATTTGTTAAAATTAGCATTTCCGTTTTAAATAGAAAACGAGATCCCACATTCTTCCAGCTTATATAGGGTTTGCGTTCGGTGACCCCGAAATGTTTATTAAAATAAACCCAAAAATATATATACATTTCCTTTCGACAAATCAAACTTATGTAAATCAATTTTATCGGCTATATATCGCAGTACTTTAATATCGTTTTTTTTTTATAGTTTTTATTAAGCTAACAAATTGCAAAAATTTTTGATATTTTTGTAATGCCTAGAAAGATTCGTCTGTTGATGCTGATCAAGAATATATATGATTTATATAGTCGGAAGCGATTCCTTAACTTTCTTTTAAGCTTTCGACTGAAGGTGCAATACCATTTTTAAATCGATATTATTTATATTTTTATAAGACAATTTGTTCAACAAATCAAAGTTTAAAAAACTCATAACTAAGCCAAAAATTATTTAATTTTAATTCGGAAAGCAGTCATATTTTAGTTTTTATTAGGCTAATAAGTCTGCATACTCAAAAAAAATGTTAAAAAAATATTTTTTTTTAAATTTTTTTCTGGCAATAATAACACCTTAAAAAATGTTGAAAAAAATTTCAAAAATGTATGTACTTTTTTAATGCCCAGAAAGATTCGTCTGTTGATGCTGATCAAGAATATATATGAATTATAGGGTCGGAAATTGTTACAAGCTTCTGACTAAAGCTAAAATACCATTTTTTAGTCGATATTATTTATATTTATATACGACAATTTGTTCAACAAATCAAAGTTTAAAAAACTCATAACTAAGCCAAAAATTAATTAATTTTAATTCGGAAAGCAGTCCTATGCTAGTTTTTATTAGGCTAATAAATCTGCATACTCAAAATAAAATGTAAAAAATTGAATTTTTTTCATTTTTTTTCTGGCAATAATTACACCTAAAAAATGTTGAAAAAAATTTCAAAAATGTATGTACTTTTTTAATGCCCAGAAAGATTCGTCTGTTGATGCTGATCAAGAATATATATGATTTATTGGGTCGGAAACGACTCCTTCACAGAATTACAAGCCTCTGACTGGAATTATAATGCTCTGCAAGGAGTATAAAAATAGTACTGAAAACTTCAGTGGATGTTTCTTGCAAATACTGTCTCGTTGAAAATATAAAGTTTCAAATTCAAATCAGTTAAAGCAACCTCTTTAGGTTATCCTTCTATGCAGCTGATCGGCTATCGGGCTTACATGGCGTATACTTAATGTGAAATCCCTTAAATTAAGTATACGCAGTGTGTGACTCAAAGGAGAAAAGGTTTAAAAATTTCGAAAGTTAAGTACTTGAAATTAAAAAGCAAGTTGAAAAAGAAAATAAAAAATTTTGCACTCGAATTATCAGATCGAATCGGAAACATTCGCATTCTTTGAATCGATATATAGTTATTTTTATTCAAAGAGATATCTTTATCTATATCTAAGATATCTAGGTATTCTCTATTTCCATTTTCTTTGCCATAATTAATTTCCCCGTAAAAGGTATCTTCTTACCTGATGTGAAATAGCGGCGACTGCGGCTCCAGTGCCTGCTCCTTGCTCGGCAGATGATTGTTGGGCGTCAGCACCTTGCCGTGATGGGGATGCGGATGCGGATGCGGATGCGGATGTGGGTGCGGATGCGGATGCGAACCATGAGAGGCATGATGAGCAGCTGCCACAGCGGCAGCCGCTGCATTGGCCACCGCATTGGCTGTATTCCCATTGGGAGTTGGCGGCTGCTGCTGTTGCGCCGTCTGCTGCTGGCCGTGACTGTGACTGGTGTGGATGTGACTGTGACTGTGACTGTGCGAGTGGGTATGCGTGTGCGTGTGACTGTGACTGTGACTGTGACTGGTGCCCGTGGAGTTGCCATTGCTGCTGCTCCCAGCACTGTGGGCATTCTTGATGTAAAGCTTTGGTAGAGTGGGACGCTGGCGCTTCTCGGCCGGCTTCTTGCCGGGAATCGTCTCGATGGGCGGCGGCACCGGCTTGATGTCCTCTTGAATATGGCCATGATGGTAGTGGTTCACCAGGTGATGGTGGTGGTGATGGCCAGGATGGTGGCCACCTCCTCCTCCTCCTCCTCCGCCACTACTGCTGTGCTTGTTCGACTCGAGGCTGCTGTAGTTGTTGTTACCCGAGGTGGAGGCCTGCTGCTGCTGCTGCTGCTGCTGGCCGGGATGCACTGGAGCCCGGATCAGGCTGCAGTAGTTGCCACTGCCGCTGTCCGTGTGATGGGAGCGCAGCGTGGGCGACTCGCAGATGGGCTCGAACCGGGCCAAGCCCTTCGAGAGGGGCGTCAGACCGCGCACATAGTCGTAGATATGATCGATCTCGTTGTACTCCTCGGCGATCTCGTTGCTGCTCAGCGCCTGCTGCTGCTGCTTCGACCAGGAGTCGCAGCTGGCGCTCTTGCGCAGCACGTAGCCACTCTCCGCCAAGCCACTGGCCACGCCCGCCGCCGAGGGCAGCATCACCACCGGCAAGCGTCCGCCGTTGCGGCTGCTGAACTTGGAGTCCTTCTTCTCCTTCTCGCTCAGCTTGAGATCCACGATCTGGAGGCGATCGCGTGCATCCGCCAGCAGGCGCTGGGCCTTGTCCAGGAAGCGTGTGTACTCGATAAAGTGCTGCAGCTGCTCCATGTTCTTGGCCCGCTGCAGCTTGATCTTGGCATTGAGTGGCACTGGCACCAGATCCGTGTCCTTTTGCAGCGGCAGCGCGAAGATCCTGTCGATCTCCACGCAGCCGAGCAGGCGGAGTTCGGGGACAAAGGGTTGCTTGAGGCCCTTGGGCGCACTGCCATGGACGAGTCTGTGGGGGATTAGAGAAGAAAGGGAAGAAAGGATTAAGAATTACACTCGATCCTCCCAAAATTTACGAGTCCCTCAAACCAAGAACTCACCTTACTATGACCGGCATCCTCTTGAGCAGGAGATTCTTGACGGTGTGCACACCGCTGATGCTGTCCTCGCGGGCAATGGGCGAGAACTTGGCTTTGGTATCGAGTGGCAGATTGATAATCTCGTCCTTGATGTTCCGACACTGCAGGTACTTGCCATTGTCGTTCATGGTGGTCAGCAGCTCGCCGGCATGGATGGTTCGGTTCATTTGCTGGCAGCGAAAGGTCTCGCGGACGAGGACTCGGGCATTACGGCGGCGGGACAGCTCCAGCACAGAGTCAATGCATCGCGTGGAGCGACCGTCCTCGCTGAGGAGCTCGAAGTAGCCGCCATAGGTCTCCGGGATGAGGACCTTAGCACCCACATTCGTAGGCTTGCGTCCCTCCTTGATCTTGATGGGCTGCGCCAGGATCTGGTACTTTTTGCCGGCGCTCAGGAACAGAGCGGTGCTCTGGAGCGACGGCGCCGAAAGGGTGGGCACACCGAGCGCCTGGTGCTGCCCCTTGAGGATCTTGGCCACCGCCGGCAGCGGCTGCTTGGAGAAGTCGCGCAGGTAGACGGGCGTGGCATCGCCGAAGCGGGAGGCGGCCAATATGATTTGGCCATCGGTGGCGGCCATGTCGCGGTTGAAGAACGAGAGCAGCTTGCTGCGCGCCAGTTGCACATTAAATGAGAGTAAGTTTCATTGGACTGGCTGCGGATGCAGCTGCTCCCCGCCGACGGCTCCCTGGTCGCTGTCCAACTCTAGCTCCCTGTCGTCCTCCTCCTCTTCGTCCTGCTGCTCCTCCTCCTCCTGGTTGCAATTAATCTGATCCTCGAGTGCCCGGCGCTTGGCCAGCTCACGGTGGCGCAACCTCAGCAGCTGGGCACCGCGACTGCAACAGGCGTGCTTGATCTCCTCCTCCACTCCGGTCGTCGCTTGGCCGGGATACAGGTCCTGGTTGTGGTTTCCCTGGTACGTCAGCAGTCGCGTGGATGTCTGCAGTGCGTAGTTGAGATACTGCATTCGGTTCGATTTCCTACTCCTCCGCTGGCCACAGTGTGCGAATTGAGGGGATCCTTGTCGCTGTTTCCTGTTTCCCGTCTCCTATGTTGGCTTTGCCAGTCGATAAGCTTGGCCCCGAGTGAAGTGGAGTTCAGTGGAGTTCAGTGGTGTCCTTTGTCCTGCAAACAAAAATGAGATAAAAGGAGGAGAGATTAATACGAGACTCTGCAACGAGTGGAAAAAGTACAAAAATAGTTTACAAAGAAAGGTATACACAACTTTGATGCAAAAATTAAGGTTATATTATATGATTGGGGTAATAGTATAGACCTTCAAATACCCTTTGAAATACTACAAAAATACCTAGATTGTAAAGAAATGTGTAGGGGATTTGAAATCCATTAAAATGTTGAAATGCTTTACAATTCAAAGATTTTAAATCATTCATTAAGAGATATTTATATGGGATTTCATTTTAAACCCTTTTCTTTCCCTTGAAAAATGTAAAATCGAGCAGAAACACACCTTTTGCTACCCATTGGACATTAGGAAAATGAAATGTTAGCTACAAATTTACCATCCCACCATTTCCCCCTCACATCGTTTCCAGTTCGAAGTTGAAATATTTCCGTGTCCGCAGATCAGCTCTTCAAGTTCTCACACTCGCACCCATTCCGGGGGAGGGATATAACGTACATATTTCTCAGGTATATATTGTGGTATGCATATAGCGATACACCGACAGGGTGTTATTTATGAGGGCCATAAAGTAGGGAAGGAAGCGAAGACTTTAACTGAAGAAATGGCAAAGTGCACAGAATGAAAACGCAGGCTGCAGGCAACGTGCATATAGAATATAGACAAGACTGCGAAGACGACTCTCTGCGACAATGCCAAACATGCCATTAACAAAAGCGAAGAGCTCTAGGAAGGAGGACTGGACCCATGGAGGACATGGCAACAAACAGTCGGCGGACCAACAAATGGCAAGACATTAAAAGTACTTAAAGGATATTTGCATATTTTATGGCCAAACATAAATGCGGCTGATTACGAGACGTCGTGAAGTGGGAGGTTGCCATTGGCTTGGCAGTGTTGCCAAAACTATGGGGCGACAGAAAGTAGCTAACTTTATGGGTTGTAAATAAGTCCAAAAGAAAAACAAAGCAAAGAAAGCCAAACCTTGAATACCTTGACAGTCGTCAAATCCAATTGCCGTTGTTAATAAGATTTCCCAGTCAAGGTATTTAAAGCAACTTGAATACATTCTATAAACTAAACAGGTACTTTTACAGGACTTTCTCAAGACTTAATTTTAAAATTGATTTACAAAATGGTTACAAATTTTACTGTAGAACATTTAAATTCCCGTTAATTTGTGGGAACTTCTTTAACTCTTACGAAACTTATACATAAAAACTTATTTTCTAAACCAAAATCTCTTTATAATATGTCAAATATTCAGTATTCAGAAAGTAATTCAAGTTCAAGTCCCTCTGAAATTAAAGCCATTGTATCAACACTGCCAGATTGGGCCATTTGTATGGGGGCTTTTCGGGGTATGTTTGGTAATGGAAATCGAGTGTGTGGTATTTCACTTCACTAAATTAGTTGGCAATTAGCAAAGTGACCGCACCTGCTGTTGCTTCTGCTGCTTCTATTGCTGCCGATTCTCCCTGCCAATTTACCATAGCGTCGCATCCATCTCTAATTGCTTTCCTATTTCGATTTGGAGCGTGGCTTGAAAGCCATAGGAGCCACATACAAATACACATATACATAGATATGTATAGTAAGAAGGTAACATCGGTTGTGGCCATAAAGAGTCAGCTCATAAAGCATTTAACGAGCCCTGAGGGAGGATGCCAGGCATCGGGGGGCTTTGAAAATAAAATGCATCTGCGCTTATTATTGGGCCATAGACCATGCATTACCCATTAGCTGCAAAAGATTATTAAATGTTTCGTTCAGACTTGGGACTAAAAGTTTAATTGATTTTTTAGTGCCGAAACGAGGGAAGAAACTTTAGTTTTTGGGGATTATTGGCTGGAATAACCTTTAACTACACAGAGAGCAAAATGTCGATTGTGTGCCTCTAGTCTCGCTTTTGTTTAGTGGATCTGCTTTCCCAATTAATTGTCAGATACAGAGCCTGGCTCAAAACACGGCCGGCAATTAATTTTCACCATGGAAAGTACCTTTTCCTGGTTGGCGGGAAAAACACACACACATTTATCCGAGGGGACTTTGAAGGAGAGCGACTGACAGACGGTCTGTCAGACGGACTGACTGACTGACTGAACTGAGTTGGCAATTCTCACGCTCAACGTGGCCGAAAGCCTTTGTAACTTATGTGGAAACGTGACATTTTCTCGGCTACTGGACAAAAATTGATGCCGCTGGAGAGGATTGGTCCAGCATCGGCAATAGTTGGTCCAGAGGCTGCTGCAACTGTCTTGTTTCCTGGCCTCCGAGTACGTGTCTGGATTTTTTCTCTGGTTTTTATTGCGGCTTCTCTCGGCCTGGCTCTTTTTCTGTGTGCTGCTGTTGTGTTTGCTGTTGCTTTTGATGTCACACAATGACACAGTTTTTCACGTGCAGAGCGCTCGTAATTTGTATTTGGCCCCGTCCTGGTCTTCGTCTTGATCTCTCATCGAAAATGTCTTAATTAATTTGCTCTGGAAAGTGGCACAAAAGCAGCTGCAGCTTCAGGGATCCCTCCGCACACTCACAAAAAGTAAGCCTTGTACTTGTAAAAACCCCGAAGAAACTCACTTAATTTATGACTGACACAAGATGACTTGGCATGAAGCCCCACAAAAGGGTTTATGATTATTAATTTTTTCATATTTTTGCTCTCCGTTCTGTTCTGTTTTTTGCGGAATCCTTTTCAACATCCTGTGTGGTGTTGCCTGTTGCTATTTGTTGCCGCCGTTTCCTGTTCCGCCGCCCTCATAAGGGGCCTCAGATGAAAAAAAAAACACTTGAGCAAATGAAGCCCCCAAAGAGTCAATATGGCGCGAGAGGGGAGTGATTATGCACACACACTACGTATACTTCATATGCTTATGAAAAATATGTAACCCAAGACGGTTCTGGAGCACATAATGAGATACGCAGCACACACGAAATGTAAAAAAATAAAAAAATATTCAAGAAATGAAGCTGAATTCGTTAAGCAGAAGTTTGTATACCCTTGCAGTCAGCCATATGGATCAAGGGTTCGAATTGATCATAACCGAGCACAAAATGCATTTATCTCAAATTGGGAATCTTTTCTGTTTTGGCTTGTATAAGGAAACCATATTGGGTTTTAATATTTAAAATATTAGAATTTGTGCAATGATTGGTTCTTTGGCCTTTGTATACTTCGAAGAATCTCAAAAATATATGTATATTCTTGGTATATTAATACGATATTTTTATATGACCACTTATTCGAAAAATCAAAGCCTAAGAAACCCCATAACTAAGCCAAAAATCAATTAATTTTAATTCGGAAAGATGTCCCATGTTAGTTTTAGTTAGATTAATAAATCTGCATACTGAATTTTTAATTTATAATAATTAAAATTTTTTGATACATTTTTGCAAATTTTTACGATGTAACCTGCTAAAATTTTTTCAAAAATTGGTGCAATTTTATTTTTTTTCAAATATGTCTAGAAAGATTGGCCTGTTGATGCTGATCAAGAATATATATGATTTATAGGGTCGGAAACGACTCCTTCACATTGTTACAAGCTTCTGACTAAAGCTAAAATATCATTTTTTAGTCCATATTATTTATATTTTTATATGACAATTTGTCCAATAAATCAAAGTTTAGAAAACTCATAACTTAGCCAAAAATTATATAATTTTAATTCGGAAAGCCGTCTTATGTTAGTTTTTATCAGAGTAATAAATCTGCATACTCAAATAAAAATGTAAAAAAATTCATTTTTTTTCATTTTTTTCTGGCAATAATACAATAACATAAAATGTTGGAAAAATTGTCAAAAATTTATGCACTTATTTTAATGCCTAGAAAGATTCGGCTGTTGATGCTGATCAAGAATATATATGATTTATAGGGTCGGAAATGATTCCTTCACTGCATTTCATGCTTCTGAACAAAGTTATAATACCCTGTAAGGGTATAAAAACATAACCAAAGGCAATGGGAACGAAACGGAAAGCTTTAAGTTCGAGAAAATGGAAAGGGAGTCTCAAGGGAATAGGCGACTGAGAAATTCTCTGGAACAGTTCATAAATAAAATAAATACATTTCTTTTATTGAAATTAAGATATGTGAGGCTTTATAAAGTTAAATTTAAAGAGTAGCTGAATCCTTTAATTTGGCAAATATATCCCAAATATGTATATATAATATCCTATACTTCATATTATTATATATATATTTTATTTTAATATCTAATATGTCGTACTACTGACTTCCAAAATAATTATTTGTAATTTTGTACTTTCTTTTATTTGTACTATTTTTATATATATTTAGTCTTGAACATAATCTGTAGATTTAGTTTTTTACTTTGTAAGTATCTATCGTAAATCTCTAAATCTTCATTTTTAATCTCTCCCTCCTCTTACAAAAAAATTCCTGCAAAATAAGTGAGCATTTAAGCTTCTACTTTTGAATATGGCCCAAACCGAAGCGTATCCCTTTCCTGCTACCCTTTCGGCGTTGGCAAAAAAAGCAGGCAAGTGCGATAAAAGCCACGTCAAAAGGATTAGGGCACACAGCCTGCCCGTGTGTGTGTGTGTCTGTGTGTGTGTGTGTGTGGGAGCGTGTGTAAACAGAAAATGTGTGCACACCAAGGTGTGGGTGGCACGGCTTTTGTTTGTCCCAACAAAAGCAGAAACTAGCAAAAATGTAAGGGAAAAAAATACAAGAAAATATATATAAAAAAATAAATATGGCAAGACGAAGTAGTGCAAGAAGAAGTATAAGAAAAAGGAGTGCAAGGAAAAAGGAAAAGTGTAAGGAGCACGACCTGCTTGTAAGGCAAAGAGCTCATAAAAGGAAACACACACACACCAGCGAGTGTGTGTGTTTGTGGCACATTAATCACACTAAAGAGTTCTACAAAATGCAACTCAACGCGACTCGCACAACCAAAGCCAAAAGTTGTAGCCGGGTCGGAGCTGCAGTTGCAGTTGTAGCTGTAGTTGTGGT